CCGGCTGAAAGGCATCTCCAGCGCTGCAGCTCCAGAGCGACCATGGGATCCGCTGAAAAGTCAAGAGCGCACAGGGCTGTGGAAGAGGGCATGTGTTTGCTCCATCCGGTGTCCAGTTGAGTTGGCAATCAGGGGTTATGAGGCTTACCATCATGAGCAATACAGCTGCATGCAGCGGAACTTGTGGCAACAAAGCCTCTTGAGACTCATGGGCCCTGGTGTTGAACCCCCCCGGGCCCTCGTGCTGAAACCCCCCGGGCCCTCGTGTTGAAACCCCTGGTCTCTCCGGGGCGTCGGCCCAGCTAGTGCCAGGGCCCAGGAGCGTGCTGTGTAAAAGACATTCTGACGGTACATGCTTGGCAAGGGACGGAGCGTGGCAAGCACACCCCTAGGAGTGTTAGGGTAGGATGTATTGTGTAAGATGATTAGGCTTGAACATTCCAACTAGTTTAGCGCTCAAAAAGTGAAGTTTGTGCAGTCCCCACAATGGTTAGATGCGCCTCCCATCATTCTCAAGGCTTGCAAAAGAAAACACATGCGCGAACACTGACGACGCCACCACGTCGCAGGTATACCAAGCGCGGGATACGGTCCCCGTTCGCATGGCGCCTTGTGGCATGCACCTTGAGCGATTCAACTTGCCAATTTGGAGTGTTTTGCCTTTTTGGTGTTCCTTCATTTCACTTTCAGCCCAAAGCTGGTTCCATACGCACACCTACGCGAAGGATCGATTCGACACGCTGAGCCGATATTTTCCGGTGTGCCACGCATTGGCCTGGTGTTGCATGATGCGACGCACGCTTAGGCTCCAACCCGTTACCTATGAGCGACAGAACCAGGACGGGACCTGAGCGAGGGATCGAAGATTGACTCGGGTATTCGCTTCGCACTAGTGGGGATGGATGAAAGCCGAATTGAGTACTGGTTGACGAAGAGGTGATAAACCACCTACCTTGATAAACCTTCTACCAGCCGACGCGTTTTGTGGATTTGGTCCATCCATAGTATTAATTTATATTCAAGACATCCAAGCAGGGTTCACCGATTGCTGGATTGTTAGGGTCTCCAGGCTGGGCAGAAGGGTGTATCCCGCAACTTGACCTAAGGCTCGAAACGATTCATTATTTTACGGGTACGCAGCGGTACGCATTGGATGCGACCGCAAAACCACAGTAACTCGCGGCAAATCAGGTGTGGTTCCCTATTTAGATTATTCACTGCAGGTAATATGCATTCCAAACGGAATAGAGCCGGGCAGAGGGAACTTGCAAACTCTTTCATATCACAACTTGCCTCTGCAAGAGAAGGGGCCTTGTGTTGGAGCGGATTGGAGTGACTTGTTTTCCCTCGATACTTTCATGGCCGGGCCGGGCCGGCGGAAACTATTAAGTCCTTGTTGACCTATTTAAGTGTCGAAATATTTAAATGGCGACGCCGTACAATGTTTGGAGCGGCTTGGATGTGTCAACCTCTGTCTCCGTACCCAGACAGTCAGGACTTAGATGAACTCAAGCAGTCCTACAGACAGGCACGGCCTTCGGTGGGGATCAACTTGCCGACCTCCAGGGAACATTTGTTTGATGATCTTGAATCAAGCACCCAAAAAGCTGGCCTTATTTTCCACGACACTGTCAAAGGGATTGGTCTTGCATCGCTTTCTGTCTGAGAGCACCTGCTCTGCGGCTGCTTTTACTGTGCCTGCGCAGTCCCGCAGACTCGCGTTTCCTTCACAGGGGAAGTGGCTCGTAGGCAAAACCAGTGTTTGCGAGCATGGGGTTCCATGGCCATCCACAGAGTTTCCATGGCAAGCTTTTGCCTAGTCCGCAAAGACTGAAGGATGCCAAAGCTTTGCCCCCTTCACACTGCACCCTGACCATGACAGAGCCTTCTTCCGTGTGGCGAGCAGATCTTGCGAACGCGGCATGAGCTGTTTCCAGTGTAATATGTCAAGATGTGACCGCCACAACAAGTGGCGGCAGTACACCTGTCGTGCAGTTGCTCTACTATAGAAAAGCCACATTCGAAAAGAATGCCCTGCCATCCTTGGTTCGTCCAGTTCTGGCAACGGCATTCATGGTGTGTTCGTACCTGAAGTTTTTACAGACTCTCAGGGATTTCAGGCTCACTCACAAAGCCAGTTTTTCTCGTCAGAAGTGGCGGTTCCACTTGCCAAGTTCTCAAGCTGGCGGTGTTTTCTCAAAACGAGGGCCATGAATTCCGACTCAGAGGTGTCTCACGCCTCCATGTTGAATTCCCTCCATCCAAAGTTCACATCGCTTGCATTTTTCCCTTGGGACCAACTCGTTCCTTCACCTTGGCAAGCCGCTGACTCGGAATTCCCGACCCTCGTTTTGAGACAACAGCGCCAGTTTCACCCTGCCAAAGCCAAGTCCCCCCAAGAACTCGCAGCTTGACTCCCAGCTCTGCAGGTCTTTGACTCGGTCAAGGTGCACAGGCTGGTGGAAGTCAGAGTTCGCAGACCAAGCAGCGCGTTGCTCAGCATGCTTGGAGAATTCACGTTTTCGTGTACACACCATTTTACGTATATATATATATATAGTGCTATACATAATATGTATGTATATATATACATATTACATATTAAATATATATATATATAATATACACACATGCTTGTATACTCGGCGTTTGCTTATCAACGTTTTTGTTCATTCATGTGTTGTTCAATCAGTCATATCAGTCATGCATTCAGTGACTAGTTATTTTGTCTGTTTCTTCCACAGCTTCGCCCCACACCAGCTGCACTGGCAAGACAGACGAAGACAGAGCGACAGACGCAGACATAGACAGAGTCAGACCAAACCTGTCCCTGAACAAGGGCAACTGCTGTGTTCCGAATCCCGCAAGAGCATGTAAAAGGCAAGTGCAAGCGGGCGAAAGCACACCCAAACGCCGCCAAGATCAACATCGCAGCAATAAGCAGCGCGGAAATGAGCGGTCAAATCAGCAAGGTTTCCACGCATCCACTGCACGAGTTGCGCGAAAGGTGCTGCAAACATAGCGGTCAAACCAAACATAATTCCGTGCCATCCACTGCAAAGGCGCACACAGACCTGGTAACGTGGTAAATTCTTACAGAGTTTTTGATATCACTTGTACTTTGCCTTATTTGCTCTGAGCTCTCTCTGGTGCGTTTGGGATGAGGGGAGCGCACGAGAGACGCGGACCTTGCCGCATCGCATAATGTGGCAGACCAAAAGTGCGGGTAGCCGAGCCAAAATGCATTGTTTTTTTTGGGAGTCTCCTTAAACCAACTCAAAAGGTTACCCGGAGGGATGCAGAGGGACATGGACTACTGCACCTTTTCAGTATGCGGAGAAGTGGTGCAAAGCGTACTAGCAGCGGTCAACTCAGCGATCTTTTCCGTCCGTTGAACAATTTGTGTATTTGTCCGGAACGGCAAAAGAGTTGAAACACGCACACCTACTTCCTCCAAACTGACTTCAACAATTAGGATGATTGATGCTGGGGTTGTTTTCGTTTTTGGTTCGGAATTCAAGGAATATGATGGAACTATGCGTTTGTAGATCCCAGGCCCCATGTGCCCTGAAGCCACGCTCCATACCAAATCCCAGCTCATAAAACAAATGCCCGAAACCACCAAGCCTCAGGCGAATTCGCGGATTGGACAGATCTATTACAATCTTTGGCATCGGTGGATTCATTTTGAGATGCATTGTTTGTTGGAATGCATTTGGCACGTGTTTCTGACTCAAGCAAAGGGCGATCGGTTTTACGTGCGGTTGCCTGCCGGTACTGTTCAGACGTATCGCCAGACTAGATTGTCGCCTCACTTGCCCAAAGATGATCTCATTCCAACAATACTACTAGAAGTCGACAGGAAGGTTTTGGAGGACTAGTATCCTCTTCAACAGGGCCTTCTCCACTTCTACGATGCCTGAAAAAAGGGTCATGAGTTGAGCCTTTGAGTCGTATGGATCGAGAGCATCCAACCAACGCCCATGTTGGAAGTATGGCAAGTGACTCACGTGCAGGCCATGTTCCTGGGCACCGAGCATCGTCATCCACGGCGAAAAGAGCTGCACCTGCCTTCGATCGCTTGCCCAACGATGGAATTGCAACAGACAATATTTGCCCTCATGTGCTGATGGCTAATTTTGTTATTTGAAGGAGCACCTCCATTCAAAGAGCACCGGGCTTGTTTGATCTCTTACTGAGCAATAGTCAAGGGAATGACAGGATACCCCGTTCATCCTTTTTCATGTTAAGTTTAAAGGGGGACCAAAGGAAAACTACCAGTTTTTGACGGACTTCCTTCTTGAAGACACCCCCCATATCTCACTTCTGAGCGTACAACAGTCAGGGGCAAATCACCCAAAGCGATGGATTGTTCTGTCTAAGTCCCCATGTGGGCTACTGACCTCACCGAATCCATTGTCCCGTGTAACGGATGGTCGGAATTTCAGAGAATGTAATATGTAAAGGTTCCTATCGAGAAGACCATTGGACAGGTGTTTGGACAATGGCGCGAAACAGATATTGCAGCGCGCTCATCCAAATGTCTGACGATACGATACGCACCTAGTTTTCTGACCTGCGAAAACAAGGAAACCCAAAGAACGCTTAGAAGAGCTGGGGTTCTTGAGTGAATCGGACGGTTGCAGCGGATTCAGATACTTTGCCCAGAGCAAATTAGAGCTCGAGCTCACTGATCGGGGGTAAACCGAGCGATTTGCACCATGCAGGTCATATGCTGGGTGGGAAATCTATTTCCAGCTTGTGCGTAGTTTCGTTTACCTCCATCTTACGGATTCTGATGATTGAAGCGGCTGAGTGGTAGGCAAACACAGCGAATCCGATGCCAAAGGCAGTCTTTGGCAAACTTGTGTGAAGCAAGCTTCTAGATGTTAACTTCAGAGTTGTGAGCTTCAGAAGATTGAGGTTACCATTCGTATCTTGTTAACTCAATTAGTTAATAGTCTGACTCCATTTCTTGATAGCTTAGCTTTGCCGCTCTCATGGCGGGCGCAGAGGTGCGTGCCTCAGCCAAGAGCGGGGATACTTTTGCACGCGCTCTCTTGAAGGTGTAGTCGGGAGTGAGAGGTAAGTGGCTGTCAACCATCAGCAACCCACCAAAGCCATGGTTGTACCGTGTTGCTTGACAATGGTTGCAAACTGCTACCCTCGTGAGGTCAGGGCGATTGAGCGACACTTCCAGGTTCAGAAATCCCGGTTTTGCAGAACTTCCGATCAAACCGGTATTCGTGTTTTCCTTTTCGCCGCCCGTCAAATGGCAAAAGCCTGCTTTGGGTTTTCAGAATGACTCAGGACCTTTCGGCTATCTCAAGAGTTTGGCAGATTTTGCTTCTGTGCAGCTCTTTTTTCCTCAGGTGGACGCGCTGGCAGCGGAAATCCGACAGCTGAAGGCGGAAGCAGTGAACAAGTGAGGGTGGCATGGTGGGCACTTCGGGACAATTTGGCAATTACCCTCTTGATTTGTTTTCCATGGCTTGGTGCTGCAAAATGCCTCCAAGTGTCCATGGCAGGAGGAAAAAGGGGAAAAGGTGTCTGCCAAGTGCGAGGCCCCTACTTTTTGAGTTCAAAGCGATGCAGTTGTTCAGGTCAATTGGCATGACTACACGTTTGTCATACCCTTTAGCTTCTAAGGATATCTTTGCAGGTGGTCTCACCCAGAATACGCCCTTTCAAGAGGATTCAGCTGCTCTTTCATTTGGTAGGGCGAGAACAATGCGAACCTTTTTTGGTCGTGACAGAACCAGGCCCCGACACCGTTTTGGGGGCGTCATTGTGGGAAACACGTTTTACCCATACCCTTCAGGTGTGCTTTTTTTTCGTGAACTCCCAAAAATTGTGGTTTTCCTCTTGGTGTCTTTTTAACATCACCACAAAAGGGGTAGCCGCAAAAACAAACACAGACCCATTTGGCACAATTTGAGAACCAACTTGGGGCATGGTTTGAGTCAAGAGCCGAATTTGAATTTGGGCCCATGTTGATGTCGGAAACACCGCATCGCTCGCCGAAGCATACAGTCGAATCGGCCTCAAGCGCACCAGGCGGAGCTGAAGGCTCAGGGTCTCTCATCCTCTCAGATCAACGGCCACCAGGCAGGACTCAAAGGCCTCGTTGGCGCAGACATCCTCTCTTTTTGGTGAGTCTTAAAGGCGACTAAACGAGAAACACAAGCATGCTGGGTTGATTTTGGAGAACCCCAATGGGTGTCCTTGAGGGTAGTGGGTTCTCATTCACCAACGCAACCCAGGGCTGTTGCAAAAGGACACCTACGAGCACAGACGCTGATTGTTTGTTGTGTGGTGTTGAGGATGCATCTCGCTTGCGGGCCTTTGGTTAAAGCGCACATTTGCCTTTTTCGCAAGGGGAACAAAAAGGAGGGTGCGTCAAGATTCTGCACTACTAGCAGTGGGTCCCCTATTCTCAGTTGGGAAGTATTGAAGGCGGCAATTCCAATCCATGCGGTTCCCAGGCGCATTCGAAGTCTGCCAGGACAAGCGGTACTGGATTGGAATGGTCGCTACGGTGGATGCCGTAAATATTGCAAATGCGGGAAGCAAGCAAAATTCTGCTTTGCCGATACTTGCCAAGGTTTCGTGGTTGGACGTGGTTGGTTCACGTCAGTATTAATAGGGAAAGGCAAAGGGAATTGGCCGAAGCCCACACAACGCGTCCCGATGCCATGCTCTTTCCACCCGAGTTCGCTGACGCTGGTTTAATTTTGTCTACTGATAGGTTGCACAAATTCAATGAGTTGGTTACCTTGACGAAGTCAATCAACACCTATGGCCTATGACGGGTCCTCTTTGGGGTGCAATTCAGGAAGCAGAAGCGACACGGATCCCTCATTGGTCCTCTTCAGCCCTTTGTGCTATGGTTGTCAAGGGCCCCCCAGGGGCAATGTTAGCGAGTAAGGCCTGGTAGGTTTGGTTCGGGTGCCTTTCTTCAATTCCTTTTGGGCTGGCCGTGCAGGTGGTGCTTGAGAAGGTCCAGAGGCTTCAAAGCCTGAAGAGCCAGCTGGCGAGCTGCCTCCTGAGAACTTTCTGGTCGCCATTTTTATGGGTGCCTGCAAGAGACGATTCAGTACGTCAAATCAAGTTGGTAACCACCTACTCACACTGCCCCTTGAAGTACCTGATCATTTTGGGATTAGTCGCTGACAAATATTATGGATAACCTACTGTAGTTTTTGGGCAGGACAAGGAGGGTGCGCAAGAAAGTTTCACACATACCCAGGGTAAGGCGCCCAACTGTTTATATCCTTTGGGGGGACCAAGTATTGTTGTCCGCGGCTCACAGGGTTTGTCGCTTGCTGGGGGATAAACAATTTGGGGATCCTTGGCTGCAGTTTGTGAATGTAATTTGGTTTGTGTCAAAGTTTCTGCCAGAGCGACAGCCGGAGTTGGAGCTCTCTAAAGTAAGTTCTGAGAGGGTTCCAGTTGCGGCTTCGGTGGAGGTGGGGAATGGTGGGTGGACGCCAGGCTGCGGACTGATACTTACTTGCAGATGTACATGGAGCCCTAAAAAGTGATAGCCTATAATTTATAATTGGTCAAATAATATCTGTTTTTTTGGCGGCCTCCCTTTTGGGTTCCCCGAAAATTCCGCGAAACCTCCCCGGAATCTTGATTGCATCATTTGCTGCTTTTTTAAGCATTGGATGTTGAAGGCTGAACCTTTGCTTAGCAACCTTGGGCATCAAAGCCACCGTTCGGCAATGCGTAAGTTCCTTGCGAAAGCATTGGATCTCTTGTTGTGGTGGTTCAAACGTTACCATGCAAAGCTCGATTGGAATTCCAAGTGTTCATTTGGAACAGCTCAGGGGCAAAGATCTTGAGCTTCACATGCGACTCAATAGATTGCCAGAGATGGCTGACCTGTTTGCCCTTGTTGAAGGTCCGTTTGGGTTTCCTTCACGTCCCCTTTTCACCGGTACGCAAGTGTCAACTCTTGCGCAGGTTGACTTCATCCGTTTGGGGGTGAATCCGGTGACGGGGGGGTTACCGGCTTGAGGTGATGATCCTCGCACGGATCAGGCCTTTTTTGCGCGTGGGACACCAAGAGCTTGATGTGAAATGAACTCAAACCTCCAGTAACGCGGTCGGGGACTCACGAAATGTCCCACAAAAAGCAAGGGGCTGACTCGTTGACCAAAAGGCCAACATACGTGGGGTTAGTATCGATAGTCGTGAACGCATTAAAGGATGCCAATTGCAAGAATTCCCACGAGGTCAACCATGACCATAGCCAACATGAATAAAATTCACCATGGCACATGTGAGATTCGAAAACAACTATTTGTGTTTGGGGTGGGGGACATGAGGAGCCTCTCCAATTGTACAAAAAGAAAGCACATCACCAGGTGACTCATGTCCTCGAAGGTGGCCGCTTTTTTTTGATTAGATGCCAATCGACGAGGGAGCGGGGCAGGGCCCCAACAAAGGGGCCCCGGTTCATAGTTAGGGCGATCGATTTGGAAGGTGCGGCGAGTGGTCAGCGACATGGGCAAGCATCCATTTGGGCGTTTTGCAACCGTGGCTTTGGTGGGCGAGAGCCATAGCTGTTAATTGTCCACTTGCCTCACGTACCCTATCGCCCCTCCAAGTACATGCTCAGCTGGAGCGTGGGGACAAGGGAAGCAGTAGACTGGTCTTGATCCCACGTTTTTTCAACCAGTGATTGGTGGGATCAAAATGCCAAAGGGATAAGACATGTGAGAGACATCACCCGACGTTTAAACAAAAAACAAAATCATGCTGAAGGGAATCTTGAGGTGCCAGGTGTCTTTTAGGTCAGTTTGATTGGACACAGACGGGTTTTGATTGGTGTTACGCGGTCTTCCAGGGACACCGGCCCATCTTTTTTACCAAAAGGACACCTCTGGTTGAAGCAGACGGCGTTGGGTTTCACGGGTTCACGTGGCCAGGGTCGAAACGCCGTTTCACAAGTTTGGCCAACGGCATCCAAGGCCAGAAAGAGGAGGTGGATGCTGCTCAGAAGCGCAAACAGGCAGATGCAAAGCTGGTCGAATGAAAGGACAACCCCCAACAGTTTGCCCCTTTATATTTGTCTTGGAGCTGTTGCGCAGTTCGCGGTTGGGTGCCACTTTGTTCGTTTCAGTTCTTTGGGTTGAGTTTGGTGCTAAGTCACTTTGGTGCTCTTCACTCTTCTCGCATAGGTCTGCCTTATATGGCCCCCGATTCCACCAATTCGGTATTTTAAGCGATTTCACCCTTTGATGAACGTTTTTTTACTGGGATTTGATGTCAGGTTTGTTGCAGATGGTGTCCCTTTTTACTTGTCAAATTTTATTGGTTTGGTCAAATATCGATGGCTCTTCTTTTAGTCTGGTGCTAGTCGTTCGCATCATTGTTTTTTCCTATGAACTGCCGTTGTGGCAGGGAGCAGAGCGACTTCTCCTTTGAGCATGCCCAAATTGGAGAAGTTGCATACATGGTGTGTGGCAACAGCGCAGTGCTTTTAAAGCTGGTTGGTCGATTGGCCGCATAGTCACCGGTCCCTGAAGCCCATTAACTTGCGGGCGCTTGGCGCCTTGGCCCCACTTGCACTTTGCAGGGCTATGTGGGGACAAGGCTTCCTTGTGGCGAGGTCTCGAGGTCAACTCTTCGATTGATCTCAGGAATTCATCACCGACCAAAGATCATCCACTCAACCAAACAACCAGCCAACCAACCAACTCATTTGCCAGCAACCCAACCCTACTATCCCATCTTTACCCAACCAACTAACAAGCCAACAGAGCTTGGAGGGGGGAGCTTCTTACACCATTCCTTGGTGGCTCCCAGCCATCCGGTTCCTCAGCCCTTTATTGTTTTAGCTTTTTAGTGGTTGGTTTTCCATTTAGCCCACTAAAAGTTAAACTGTTTGCAGGGGATCTGACGACAGCCTAGATTCTATTCAACAATTCTACTCGACTCAACCCATTCTACTCAACCCATTCTACTCAACCCATTCTACTCAACCCATTCTACTCAACCCATTCTACTCAACCCATTCTACTCAACCCATTTAGCTACACCATTCTATTCAACCCATTCTACTCAACCCAGTCTACTCAACCCATTTAGCTACACCATTCTATTCAACCCATTCTACTCAACCCATTCTACTCAACCCATTTAGCTACACCATTCCATTCAACCCGAGCCAACATCCCCGGAAAGAGCTCCCCGGCGAGGCGGAGGCTGCCTCCCAGCGTGCAGAGCTGAAGGCGAGGCTTGCGCACAGCCATGGTTCTCGGTCCAAGTTCTTGTGGGAAACCCGTTTTGTTTGAAATAAGCTCAGGTGATATCCCCAACAGCATGCGGTGGAACCCTGGTGGAACCCTCGAGGAACCTTACCTCAGGGCCGCCCCGGACCACCCAGGAGCCTATCTGGGCTGAGACCCCAAAGCTTTCAGCTGTTGGGGAAAAACGAAACCCACAGAGAATGTGGGGAAACAATTGTGTCTAAAGCAGCAGAAACCAGAAGAACAAAAAACACTTGTTGGGTTCCCCACTTCTCTAGGGGCAGTGAGGTCAGTGATTCGTAAACATGGTTATGCCAACAATGCCAGGCCATGCTCGTGTGGATTATAAGCACGGATACAGTACGGATGGCCACTAGAAGCTATGCTCTTCAGGCCACAGACCCACCGTTCCAAAGAAGGAATTCCGGAGCCCAGCCTCGTAATCACCCTCCTGTGCACCAACATGGGACCCACCAGGTCCCTTTCTAAGGGAACTTAGTCTTCCAGGAGATCTGGTCAGGTTCCATATTAGTGGATGGGAGAGTACCGTTTTGGATCCTTTTGGATGTCAGAGATGAGTTGTCGTGTGTGTTCAAAGGGCTCCCTGGACTCCGGGTGGTGCAGGGAACCAACAGAGCCAGCTACTGTTTGTGCTGCTGACGTAGCTCTGATCAACTTGGGCATGTCTCAAAACAAAGGGGACTACTTGTGTAATCAAAAGGCGACTCCCCCACAAGAAGAACAGAGCCAGTTCAGGAATCAGTGAATGGTCGCAGCAGCAAATCCAGCATCCTGCCCTAAACTTCGAAATTGTGAGGAGCCAATCGATGCAAACCAGCTGCATCAAGGAACCACACCACGCCGACCCAACTACTGCTAGCAAACGACCAACTGGAAACCGACCGTGCTCATCCAACCAAGGTACCAAGAATTCGATCCAATCTAGAACCAAACCCAAACCAAGCCAATCACGCCACCAATCACTCGTGTTTTGCCCGGCAAATGAAGCAAGATGCATACTCCAGCCTCCACTCCAGTGGAGTGTTTTGCCCACTTCACATCTCCAAGACAACCAAATCAAAACAAATCTCGCAAACGCATCCAATCAAGAACCAACTGCAAGCCAATCTCACCCCATCACCATTTGTTAGTTTGTTTGTGTGTTTCTTTGTCGGGAAGCCCCTTTTCGTATGAGAGAAGCAACCAGCATGATGAAGAGGACTATCCGACAAAACAGGGACTTACCACGACTGGTGGGTTATAACCAGGGCTACTAAACACTCACCTCACGTACCCGATCGCCCCTTCAAGCAAGCGGGGTCACAATCAGAAGACCTTGGGGTTGGTATGGTGGTCCATTTCTATTTTGGGGAGATTTAGACAACAACGATTTCCTTGTTTTTACCACCCTGACCCGCAACTCATGGAGTTTTCACCATGACTCGTACTATAATTCATTAGACAAGGTAGCATCTAAGTGGGCTTTCACTTCGCCTAAGCCACGGCTCCCCAAGGGAGACTTAATTCGGAGCCCCTTCTGTAGTGGCTTCAACACCAGCAGAAATCTACCGGCAAGGGCAAATTGTGTGTTTTTGCAACAACTTGACCTCACTCATGCTGGCCATCGGTACAACCATTTGCATTTTTATGGCAAGCAGCTTACCAAGCCGGGGGTCAAGCGAAGTCACCATCATCCGGGTCCTGTCATTTGGGATCCAATTCTTGTTTCAGGTTTGGAATTATTGTAAGCATGCAGACCAAGGGAAGGGCCAATGGAAGCTTGCCAACGTCTAAAGACCAGTGAAAAAGGAAGTGCAGAAATTGGCAATCATCCACCGATATGCCGGACCATTGGCCAATTTGCTTAGAACTCATTTCGGGCACTGCTCAGGGAAACCAACTAGGAATACAGGGGGAACCAGATCCCTGACTCGAGGCCGCCGAGGAGCAGGCCCCGCAGCCGCTGATCCAGCGGCCGACCGCCCCAGTATCCGGAGGCCGCAGTTGGTTTGCTTGGTTTCTTTTGGGCCTAAAGGCTTCCCCTGTTTTTGTTGGGGCGTTTGGGTTGTTCGGTTTTGTGGGTTCCTTTGAGGTGCTACGTTTCTTTTGCAAAGTGTCACTGCTTTTGGCACTGTTGGCTTGGGGAGAGACCCATGAAACAACCACCCGAACCCCCGCTTTTCGAAAGAAAAGCCCCCCCCCCCGGTTGTTCCGCTGCGACCATGGTTAATTTGGGAGCGACGAGGACTCACCAAATGTCCAACCTGTGGCATGTTCCGCTGCTACAACATCGTTTGTTGAATGTCTCCAGCTGAGGATGTTCAATCCAACAACCGTGGCACATGTTTCAAACAGCTTGAAACAAAGGGTTCGTCCTGCAATAAAGATGGGCACCCAACGGTCACACAGGACGGTCAAACAGATGTCCGGCCAGGCAGCTTTTTGGCCTCGGACAATGGTGTTGTTGCTGCCTCTGACATGTCCAACAACTGGGATCGGATATATGTATATATATATACATATGTATATATGATGAATGGCCAGTTTTTGTGGTGGGTTGAATTCCTCTCAGTCCAATTTCAATCTTGGGACCTGTCCCTGGGATACAAATCTTGAGGGCTTGGACGAGCCTTCTGAGGAAAATCTTTCACCTCTTCCAGCACGCAGGCCCAGGGGAATGTGTCAGCCATTTGGTTTGTCCGGAAAAGGCCAGGGTCTGGTGCATCAATGGTTGGAACCCTGAACCCTGGCCTTTAAACCATTTGCAGCCAACATGATTTACACCCTCAATGGTTTGGTGCACCACAGGTTTGGTTCGAGGCCGGGGTTTTAATTACATCCCCTGTTACTTGTGATGGTCTCTTAAACTGCCATTCAGTGGGTAATTTTGAGGTGGTTGAGTGGCACCCGATTCCAGATTAGGCCGTCGCTTTTGGTATGCAAAGTTTATCCAAGAAAACATGGCAAAACCTGGCCGGACTGAACTAGCCTTCTTGCCCTTTTTGTCCTTGTGGGTTTCAGCAAGTTTCCTGATCAGCCAGCAAACAGTGAGGTCATTGCAAAAGTTCCGATCTGTCCGGCCAGAATCAGATGGTCCCTTCGATTGTAGTTGAACGGGTCCGGTAAAAATAAGGCTTCCTTGTGCGGACCCCCGCAAAGAAGGGCGGGCCAAAATGACTTGCCGCAGATTCCAAGAGCTCCAGAGCCTTGCCGAAGCCCATTTTTTTCGATGACCTCCGAAATAATGCTATGGGAACGTGCAAACCCAGGTCACTCTCTGTTTGTTTGTATCTCTGGGAAGCCAAACAACCCTTACCATTTTCTAGGGTGGCGCTCGGGAAGTGGTTGGTAACCTCGGCACAATGCACCTGGGTGACGTACAGCCAGGGTTTTGGTGGGATAACTATGGTTACTAATCACTTGCCTCACGTACTTCCCGTTTAAGTACCAAAGGGTTGTTGACCATCCCCATTGACCCCAAGCAGCCAAATGCGGCATGGGCTTGTGTTTGGCACATGTCCCCAACATGGGGCCGGTTTTGGATTCCCTCGAAGTAGAGGACGTTTCCAGCAGGTTCGGGTCCCACCTTTCACTACGAGCCTTGCCCTCGGACCCTACGAGACAGCCCGAGTCGGGAAGTGAGCGGAGTAAGACCAATTCAAGTTCCCAGGGGTTCTGTGGATTTGTTTACTTTCAGGCCCAGGTGACTTATTATCTTCCATTTGCTGAAATTAATATTGTGTATTTTTCCCTGTTGGTTAAAGGGAATCAAAATCACTGCTGTTTTTTGTTGTTCTTTTTTCCGGGGAACTTGAGCAAATGGAGGTTCTCATCTGCCCAGATTCCTCCTGATTGTTTTTTTGGAGCACAACATGGTGCAGGCTCTTGGTGCAAGACTGTAAGGGTTCCTTCCTTGTTTCCGTGAACTAATGCAGGGCTCGCTAACAGATACAGTTTGCAACCATTTGAAGCATGTGGCTTTTTCCGCATCAAAGTAGAGGGAAACCGCCATGGTACAAGTTGCAATGTTCGGGTGTTTTTCATGTATCCGGATCCCTGTAGTGTGTCACATGTCTCAAATCCCAGGCCAAAAGGGTAGACTCTCCCAGAACCCGAAGGATCCCTTTTGAAGATGCCTCGGACCTAAAGACCGACATCGTCAGATGCTCAAATGGTATGGGCGGTATGGGCGGTTCTTGGAGACACCAAAGGTTTGAGCACATTTGCCTTGATGTTGCTCTGGTGTGTGGTGGCAGCGCCTGAAATGCAAGCTTCCAAGTTGAAGACCCAACTAGCTTCTAAAGACTCCCGTTTCATCAAACTCAGAACCCGCAAATGTGGAGGAAATGGACTGGACAACCCTAGCTAAATCCTTTCCTAGGTCCCGCAGTAGTGCCCTTTTACTGTTTCTTTTTTGGGGAGGGTTCCCCTACTAAGTTAGGATAGACTACAGAAAAAAGGGGTACCCTTATTCTAAGCTCTCTACTGGACGCAGCGTTTGAAGCAGACTGCCCAGGCCACCGCCACGATTGAACAGCAAGGACTGTGGCTTTGGTGAAGGCAAGGATCAACCGAGAGCATGTGGGGCGGGTGTCGCTGCCTTTGGTTTTGTTTGTGTTGTTGTCATGGTTTGTTGTTCTTTGGTGGTGTGTTTGGTTTGTATTGTTTGTTTGTTTGTTTTCTGGGAGGAGCTCCCTTGTGAGAGCTCTTTGATATGCTATTCCAGCTGTTTTTTCCTTCGGCTTTTTGCGGTTGGTCAAAAACGTCCTGATTTGTCTATGGTTCATTTGAGACTGACAAGAGGAGAAGAACTCGCCAAGCCTTTGACAAGCACCACTCACAAATTGGCATTTTGACCTCATGTAGGGTGGGTGTGTTCTTTCGAGAATTCCCTTGTGGCGGTTTTAAAGGGAAAGATAACCTGCTGCTGTTCGGTAGGGAATCGCAATCGGGGTTTTGGGAATGAATCTATGAACCACAAGCACAAATCCTGCCCCACCTAAGCAACCCTGGAATGATTTGACTCCCCTGTAAATACCAACAAACGTCATGGTTTCCCATGGTTCCCAAGCGGTGCGAAATGGATTTCGAAGCCATCCACAGTAGGGGTCATGCCCTCATTGCCTTGGGGGAGAGAATGCTATCGCTGCAGACATGCTGTGACTTTCAATGAGGATGGGCTGGTGGATCCATATCCAGATCAGATGAACAACCACTTAGAACAAGTCTAGAACCAACAAGTTTGGTTGGTTCTAGACTTGATCAACTACTGGAACTATTTGTAATTGTCCAGGGGACTCAAGCAAATGGAGGTTTAGGGTTGTCTCAAAATTCCCCAACAGCTGAAAGCTTTGGGGTCTTAGCCCAGATAGGCTCCGGGGTGGTCCGGGGTGGCCCTGAGGTAAGGTTCCACGAGGGTTCCACCAGGTTCCACGAGGGTTCCACAAGGTTCCACGAGGGTTCCACGAGGTTCTGCGAGGGCTGCGGGGTGGTGCGAGCACTAAAACGAGCACCGCGTGCTTATCACCTGAGCTTATTGGTTTGGGGCAGTTTGGGGGTTGACTATATAAGGCTGGTTTCGGCCTGGGGGTGCTGGGTTGCTGAGCAACATTCAACAACTGCTACTTCCGTACTGTCGACATTTGTTCAATCATATGCACGGAACCCAAATGAGTCAATGTCTATATCGACCCTGGATTAATCTAGCTGGTGAAGTATCAGGGCTGGCAATTGCCTCGAAAATGGGACACCTCCTTAAAATCAGCCAGCTTGTGCATCCTGGATTCCAATCCAAGATCATACTCGAATATGAGCCTTACCGCCTTGCAATTGTGCGCTGCCAGGGAAGGACCCTCATCCACCCGTGTACATCACCGAGAAGTGGGATGGGACGACCATGCAGGCACATTCTCAGGTCTGGAGAGTGGCTTGTTAGTGCCACAGCCCAAAGCTTCAGGTTGCGCTACATGGTTGTTGTTGGGAAACATTTTACATGTTTGCTTATTGTGGTTTAGTGGTTGAAATCCAACCACTTAACTGCTAATATATATATATATATATATTTGCTCCCCTTTCCAACGTCAACCAAGGCTAAGTGTACCTTTGGATTGTACAGCAAAAGTGCTTCTTGGCAAGTCGTTTCAACGGTCGTTTCGTTTCGAGATCTCCGAAGGTTCCCAGACCTCAGCGGTCAGGCAACATCCAGACACATCTTCAAGCGCTTGGACCTGTGGGGGTGCCTCGGCAAGGCTTAATGTGAGTCGTTTTTTTTTTTTTTTTGTAGAGCGACATGGGCCACGCTCACCTTGAAAACAATGGAAGTATCAACTGGGGTCACCAAACTACAAGTAGTTGAGGTAAGGAGATGGAAGTATCAACTGGGGTCACCAAACTACAAGTAGTTGAGGTATGTAAGGAGCATCGACTGGGGCACGTAATGGCACGTGGTTGAGCCTTTTGGTGCCTTCTGTATGCGAGTGTCGCACGGAGAGCAGTCTGTAGGCAGAGCCACTGTTTGCTGAATCCAGTCCGGAGCCGGACCCTCCCTTTTGCAGGTGCAGACGGTACAGCTTCACGGACAAAACGCCACTCTTGAACGATACCCTTGCAAAATGCAAAAACTTGGAAAACGATAGGTGACTGACTAACGTAGAATTGACACTTCTAAAACATACGGAAAGGGATTTTGGATACCAGTGGCAGCATGTCCAATCCGTTGTTGGCCAGTTTGAAGAAGACTTATTCATGAAGCTGATTGAAGGATTTCAAGCTGGTTTTGACACCTGTGGCTGTGAATTTCAATGGTTGCAACTCCCTCAATGGTTGGGACAGACATAATTCCAGCCATCCGAGTCAAAGGCTGGGTCACTAAAAGTGCACATGTTCAGGGGTTCTCAAAAAATACTTTTGTGGTTGCTTCCCTTGAATTCACCATGTAAGGCAATTCTGGGAAGGCACTTTCATCGCAGTGACAGCTCCCGAGGAGACGCCGCGATGGAGATCCCTCCCAGCGCTACAGCATCCGGCTGCTGGGCTGGCGGGAGGCGGGACCACAGCGTTCGGGTGAGACGAGCGAGCGATAGGTGATGTCGAGGTTTCTCAATAGGGGTCCAAAAAAGGGTGTGTTTCTATAGTTGTTCCTTTTAGAATCCCAGCCAAAAGGCACATGTGTTGCAATTGGGGTTTGCCTTTTCACAATTAGCCAGTTTTTTTGGCAGGAACGAGGCTTCCAAAAGTGCGGGACCACCTGGAAAAAGCGAAGAGGCCCTTTGTATATGTAGAATTGACTTCCCATAGCGAGCGGGCATGGGCTAGCAGGGTGGTTTGTTGCAGTGTGAAGCCATCCGGCCATGAGATCGTGTCCGTGCGAGTTTGCCAGCAAGCGATCGGTCACTCAAGTTCGCCAGCTCCCCACATCTTGTCTCCGAGATGGAGAGGTTGCAGCGCATCTCCGGGCATGTTGTGGCGTCCATGACGGCAGACAGGACGCTGCTGCCGCAGCCAACGGCCATGTCAGGCGCCACCCCGGGCGATGACGACGTGGTCATCTGCTGCGCTCTGCGCAGCGCGGTGGGTAAGGCGATGAAGGGCTTCAAGGAGCTGCCGCCTGAGGACCTCCTGGCCGAGGTCTTCAAGGCAGTGGTCGAGAAGACCAAGATCGACCCCAAGCAGATTGGCGACTGCGTGATCGGCAACGCGCTGCAGCCGGGTGCCGGTGGCTTCGGGACGAGGATGTCCATGTTCCTGGCGGGCTTGCCCTATGAGGTGCCGATGTACACGATCAACAGGCAGTGCAGCAGTGGGCTGCAGGCCGTGGCCACGATCGCGCAGTCGATCAGGACGGGCACCATCGACGTCGGCCTGGCTGGAGGCGTTGAGTCCATGTCGTACTATCCGATGGCTTGCGCCTACGACCTCAAGAAGGTGTCGCCCAACGTGGAGAAGGATGCAATGGCCAAGGCCTGCCTGCTGAGCATGGGCATCACGTCGGAGAACGTGGCGGCTGAGTACAAGATCTCGAGGGAGACCCAGGACAAGTTCGCGGAGGCCTCCCACGCAAAGGCGTTGAAGGCGCAGAAGGAGGGCCTCTTCGACAGCGAGATCGTCCCCATCAAGACGACCCAGACCGACAAGGACGGCAACAAGAAGGAGGTGGTGATCTCCAAGGATGAGGGGCCCCGCCCTGGCACCACCTTCGAGGTGTTGTCCAAGATGAAGCCTGTGTTCAAGCAGGGCGGCAGCACCACGCCCGGGAATGCGTCTCAGCTGTCCGATGGCGCCGCGGTGGTCTTGTTGGCGCGAAGGTCGAAGGCGAAGGAGCTGGGCTTGCCCATCCTGGCGCGCTTCCGCTCGTTCGCGGCCGTGGGTGTCGACCCGCATGTGATGGGCGTTGGTCCCGCCTTCGCCATCCCGCCGGCCCTGAAGCAGGCAGGCCTCGAGGTGAAGGATGTGGACATTTTTGAGATCAACGAGGCCTTTGCGTCCCAGGCGTACATGAGCATCAACCACCTGGGCATCCCCATGGAGAAGGTGAATCCGAAGGGTGGCGCCATCGCCCTTGGTCACCCCCTGGGGTGTACGGGCTCGCGACAGATCGCCACGCTGCTGCCTGAGCTGAAGCGTCAAGGCAAGAAGATCGGCGTGTGTTCCATGTGCATCGGAAGCGGCATGGGAGCAGCGGGCGTGATCGAGAGTGAGCAATGAGTGACCAGATTTGTGAAAAGGTAGCCCAGCGCATGAGGCTTAAAGCCTTGCAACCTTGGTACTGCACCCATGTTTAACAACTTGCGGCTGTAGGTGGGGTTGTCAAATGCACGCTTGAGGCGCATACCTAGGAGACTTGCTCTTTCGAATTCGGTTTGTTCTGTAGAGGCCCGCGATGGCAGGCAACCAGGAAGGCTGGCCATCCACCACAAAGGATGGCCGCATGCCAGGATTGTTTCTGGTTTTGCGAAGCGGCTAAAAAGGTGGCAGCGGCTGGGTGGTGATAAGACCACCCCGCCAAAGACCCCCATTGGCCCAAGGGTTAGGGGTTTATTTGGCCTTATAGACCACCATTGAGGCCAATAAAGCCTTGCTCCCTGGTGGCTTTTGGGGGGTGGTCACTAGGGTCCCTGACAAATAACGTGCTTCATGAGTCATGAGCCTTGCATACTGACCAAGATGTCCACCATTAGGGGAGCATGGGCACCATTCTCACCGGTGAAAATCTGAAACGCCAAGCCCCTCGCGCCCCCAATTCCCCAATGCTTCTTCAGCATGTGTCCCGGAAGTCGCTTGGTGTTCCGTGATGGCACTGGTGTGTTTCACACACAACGCTGGAATTGTGTGCTCTACTTGTAGAGCTGTCCCTGGTTTCTGTACGCCATATGAGCATCTGTAATATCGCTTGGAACTCACAATGTGTCAAATATTGCTGCGATGATATCATTATGTGTTGACTGCTACATGCATCAGCCCAGACCTCCAGTACCCAACAAAAATAGCTGACAGCGGTTTCCTTTAAAACCCGGTACCCTACAAAAAGGGCGCCCTTTTTCCCCTTGGAAATCCACTGGTCACTCCCCTGCAAGGAAGTTTTAAACGGGTTAGGCCCCAAAACGAGCTTCCCTTACGAAGGATGTTTTTGGGGTTCCAAACAGAAAGTGGCTTCTCGCTATGACACGATCTTTACTTCGGCTCCCCTTCAGCTGCCCCAGCCATCGGAAGCACGTTGCATGAAGTTGCTTGTGGGTGTATCGAAATTTGACAGGACCACCGTCCTTGTTTTTCTTTTTTGTTTTATGGAAACCACATGATATGGAAATATAACATCATTTTGTGTTTTTTTTTGGGGAGGGGGTTCACGGGGTGGGTCAATGCGCGAGGACGCCACCTGGCGAGGACTAGACTTCATTGATGCTGACGCCAGGCTGCTGGAGGCGCGGCAGCGGTTACTCCAAGAACCTTTCGGCCTTGTGAGCCTCCCTATGTAAGGAGTCCTCATGGGTGGGGATATGCTCACAAGGTAGGCTCAAGAGTTCTTGACTTGAAATCGTTTTTGAGCTGATTGGGTTAGTGGCAGACAGTTCGGAATTGTTTGGGCCCCTCTCAGGAAGCTTAGGATGGCGCCGAGCAGTTGCTGGGGATTTTGTTTGGTAGGGACCCCCTTGGGCTGGTTCGTTTCGAGTGTGTTTCCATTAGGAGACACACGCCAAAAGTGTAGCTCTTGACAACCGACAGGGCAGTGGCTCAAAATTAAAGAGCTAGGGTTACGCAGGTTTTGGTCCATGTGTCCACTTCCTAGGGTTCCATTTTGGCACCGCGTTTTTGAGCCATGCCCACAGTTCTCCCAAAACATAGGCCCAAAAAGCCGGTACCAAAATGGCACCCTGGCAAGTGGGGAAACATGGACCAACACCTGCGGTTTGCCCCTTCTGTTTAACTTTGAGCCACACGAAAGGCTCTCCCAAAACTATAGGCCCCAAGAAGCAGACGAAAAAGGCCTGCTCTGTAAAGAGGTACCTCCCGGCGGCACTCCACAGGCCTTGAAGCCTCACTTGGCCCAGATCGCGGCGCTGGAGGATGGGCCCTTCGGCATTTGGGATCCGGGATCCGGATCGAGGGTGCGGGATCTGATGATCTGGGTGGAATACCCTAAGGGAACATGGGGGTTGAGCCCATGTTCCTTGGGGTTAGGCTGCTAAAGGATTGGGTATCTGAGTATCTGCTGTAGATTGGAATCATTGGGAGGGCTGGAACTTTTCCCAGTTTTTCGACCAAGGCGAAGTCCCATGTGGTTGAAATATCAAATCCTTTTTGGCGGTTTTTTACCCAATGGTCATCCCATGCATGAGAATATTGGGAAGTACAGACTGGCGAAAACCATGGCTGGAAAGTGGGACAGTAAAAGTGGGTGCGGTTGTTGTTTAAGGGACTCCTAGGATTTTAGAGGTTTCATGGGTGTGGTTGCTTCCCCCCCAACTGTTTAATGAGGGTTCCATTTCTTCAGCAGGATAATTACCAGACTTAAAACCAGGAGTGGTTGATTTTTAGGAGGCAGCGTATTCCCAGTTTTAAGCTTGCCTTCACGGCTTAAGCGGAGGGGATTTGTCATGTCCCGAGTTTAGGTGTAGGTGCTGTATGAGTCGGTGCAATTTGTTGGAACTGTTTCAAAGGGAACCAAAAGAAAAAGCGACTTTGAGCGTCTGGTACGGGACCTTTTTTAGAGAGTTTGAGGGGACATCAAAGAGCAGCCCTTGCGATTTCCGAGGTCTAGCGATTTGTTTGAAACATCCGAATCTGGCTTCTCTTCAAAGTGGAATTTAGAAAATAGCCTGTGGATTAAACGACTGGAGCACACAAGAAGGCTGGTAGACACAAACCTCCTATGATGTCCACAAGGTCCCCCCAATGCACACCCTCATGTGGCTCTTTCTACCATATGTTGATCTTATGGTGTCCCATTAAAACAGACCCTAAATGGGTGCCCTCGAATACAACACCTAAGTAGGTTCAACAACCAGTTGCGGGCAATCCAAACTTTGATATTGCTACTGTGGTTGATGCGTTGGATGGTTTTGCTGGGTTCGAGAGGTTCGGGGCCAGATAAAGAGCCAATTCGCGAGTCTGGAGGTTGACAGGATCGGTCCAAACCGAGACGAGCTTTTCAGCGTCTGAGTTTTCCGTTTTGCTCCACGTGCAGTCGCCCCAAGAGCGCCTTTCTATTGGGCCTGGAAGCAGAGGATCAGATATTTAACGCGTGATGGTCAGAGGCTTTTCTTGACAGCTCTCAGCCATACCCTCAGACTGTTGGAGGTAGAGTTTAGAGGACATGTTGCCATATCCCACTAAAGGTTTGGTTGTTTGTTAGCATGGGGTCAACGAAGCACGGGTTTCAGTTTCAACATTTTCCTGACGGCCGGAAGGGCGTGAGGGTGAAGTTCCCAGCGGCGATGGCAGTGTGCAGAGGTAGGTGTTGTTTCTTAAAAAGAAACACCCCTTGTTTGAGCGCAGGAAACTAGGATACCAGCCTTGCTGATTGTATGACACATGCTTTCCTGAGGCTTTGCGTGTACTTCGAGGCCGGCTTTGTGACGAGCGCCAATCCCCAACAAGAAAACCACCAAAGGCTCAGACTCACTTTGCAGGAAACCAAGTCAAATCCGTCAAGGACACACACACACACACGCCCACCAACACACATACAGGGTTCTCAGCTTCCACCAAAGTCCAGAAAAATGGTCGGCGAGAAACCGGGTGGGAACGTCTGGAAGTTAGATTTGTTTCCTGTGGTTTCCCAAGCCAAATGTTTGCCATGGTCCAGACTCTTTATGTGGGCTCTCGCCGGGCTTGTTTTATGAGAACATGTGGGGTCAACTCAAAACAAACACGACAGGCTGCAAAGATCAACGTTGATGCTGATTAGGATCCCAGCCCTCCCTGCTCCCCTCCCTCCCCGAAACAAGACCCCAAAGAAACAACTTCATGAACTGGCCTGCCGAGTTGACTAGCCAGAAACAGTTGACTGCAGTGATGAGGGTAGCTACCAACTTTGTTTCGAAGTTTGCCAACTCCGTCCTCCGACTTGTTGGAAGCCAAATTGTCAGCTCTTTGGAAAACAAGGGGACCCCTAAAGGATTTGTACGCTACATACATTCTATGATCAGTTTCAAACGGGGCCGTCTGCTTGCACAAGAATCCTTATAGTTTCCCGTAGACTAGGCCGTTTACTTCTACGCAATTCCTCCGTTGTCCAACAACAAGGCCGGGTGAGTCATTCGAAATCAGGAAGGATCCGCTAGGCTTGAGGCGCTCTCAGTCGATTCACAGGCCGTGCACACAGACATCAATTCCAACTTTAAGCACTTGCGGGGCCCCAGGTCCGACCAAACCTGCCCCGAGCAGGGCAGTCGTTTTGTGTTTCGGTGGTTTTTGTGCAAAACTCGACTAAGTGAAAAGCAAAACAGGCAAAACAAGAGATGTGTTTGTTTGGCGCTGGCCACGTTCCTTTTCCCGTTTGTTTTGTTAGGGGAGCTCCACCGAAATCCACCTGCCAAGAAATGCACTGGAGGTTTGTGGTTGATGCCCCTCGAAGAGACAACAAGGGCCCATGATGCAGGTCCTTCATTTGGGGATCAGTTCTTACTGCAGACTTATGGAGTTATTGTAAACATTTCAGGAATTCCTTGTTGTTTTTGGAGTATCTTTTATGTCACAATTGTGCATGGCTGGCCTCTTCAGTTCGTCAATCCGCAGGATCCTTTCCAGGGGATTTAAAAAAAAAGGAACCGGTGGCCGTTTGACTCCATGGTTTCCCAATACTTGCAACACCCCCACCCTCCCCCAGCGCTGGGACAGCCCAGAAATTGTTCGGCGCCCTGCGGGATTTTCCGGCTGGGCCTGAAGCAACAAGAATGGCTTCCAAAAATGTTTAAAACGCGGCAGGGTACTGTGGAGGGTTGCGAAATCCATTTCGCGAGAAGAATCCCTGGTTTCTGATGATTCCCCTGAGTACCAGCAAACTGTATGGTTTCAACCATGGTTTCATTTCCTGGTGCGAAGTGGAATTCGCAAGCGTCAGTAGGTCAGGTAAGAGGCTAGCTACCATGGGCGCAATTGACAGAGCGGGACATGTTACGGACTCTGGTTGGCTTTGACCACTCTGTAAGTAGAGAACGACCTCTTTTCCTGGTGGATCTGCCCCTTTTCCCTTTCTCGCTCCCCCGGGTTGCCGGACTCTCTACTTGCTGGGAAGACCATTGGTATGGCAAAGAACCGGTTGAGACTTTTTGGCCAAAACCACTCAAGAAGTGCCCTTTGACACCCTCCCCCTTACAAAAATGAGGGTTTGGTGGCACAAATTCCGGAGCACCTCAGGTTTTGAATCAGCAAGCGGCCCAATTCCTAGGCCCCCCGCCCACCATTTCTTGCGCGCATGAATCTGTGGCATCGCCTGAGGCCGGGCTTCGCAGACATCCGGGTGCTGCAGCCACATGGGGCCCGTGGGAAATGGGAACCACTTGCAGAATTCCGAAGGTTTTGGGAAGGAAACTGGGGATTCCCTTATAAGGAAATCACCTGCTGGATGCTTCAGTTCTAGGTGACTTCCCTCATACCCTGCCTATTGAAGCTGCAAGTAAAGGGAACCCAGCATGATAGCCCCCCCTGCATGAATACGAGGGTGTCCCCTTTAAGGGAGAATTGCTTGATTCCGGGTCGACGCTGCCCTTCCGGCAAACCTGGCTAGATGCGCAGACCTCGTGTCAACGAGACCTGTCCTTTTGGAACAGGGCGCTGTGCACCGAAAGTGTTGTGTGAGGGTAATACCATTAAAGCCACCATGTTTGGAAAGGGATCTTGGGGTACAAAGCCAAATCTATGACTAGAGGAGTTGACTATTCGTAATTATGCATCCCTCAATTCTATTATATAGTATTACTTAGTTTCCCCGTCGCTTCCCTTTCACCCGAAAGTGTGGTGTGGCACTTGGCTAAGTCGCTGGCCATGTTCCGGCATTTACCCTGGGCGGTCCTGGTGGGTCCCATGATAGTGGGCCAAGGGTTTGCTCACTTAGTTCCTCCCCTCCAGCGAAGCCCTGAACACCCTCCACTGAATTGCCCTTTATGTGGCAGGATGTGGAAGGTGAGAGGCTGTTGTTTGGCCAAGAGTTCCCCTCGCTCACACTCGTTTGGGCGAGGACTGTTTGTTTTCCATCCAAACACACACCTCAATTTCGCATCCCGAAAATTTCAAAGAGAGAAAGGTGCCCTTTTCCCGGGATAAGTGCCACCTCAACGAGAAGCGGCGCCAAACTGAGCTTGCGACCCATGCCCTGCCTTGCTCGCGACTGGGCTCAGCTCAGTGAAATCCGCTGAAGAGATGCCCAGCGAGCAGCGGCCGAGCAGGGAGCAGCCACACAGAGGAAGACACAGGACAAAGACCGACCCACGTAAAACAAGAGGCGTTTTTTTTTTTTTTTTACGGCTCACAAAAGCGTCACGGATTCCAAGTCACGGGATCCATTGGGCTGAATCCACGAACGGCATTAAGCTCAGCCGCGGACTTGGTCAGCTTGGCGCTTGCGCGCCATATCTCTCTCTCCGATGTGCTTGAATCATTGAAGCACCAAAAACGGGTTGCTGTCATGGAAGGCCTCCAACATTGCCTACTGCTCCACTCCTTGCGCATTCCGTCCATCACTCTTTGCAGGGGATCAGAAAACCCGCGGGAAGGTGGTCCGTGCAGAAATTTCTTCTGAGGCGATCCATGGACGATGGGTTCAACCTCCTGCCACAGGTCTCAGGCTGGCGACTTGCAGCTTCTTTTTTTGTTTAACACTTCCATTCGTTGAACTGAGTTGCTTTTGTTTGTTGGCTTCTCTTGTTGGTTTTAAAGGAAATCGCTGCCACCACTGGAAATAGTGTCTCTTTTTTTTTCAGGGGGCTTAAGCACATGGAAGTCCAGAATTCTTACACTGCTTTTTGCACAGGACCAAGGAGTTTTTTTATCATGGGAAACAGCAGTTGTTCGGGGGTGCTGGTCCAGATGATTGTGACATTTTCCTTGTTGGAGCGGTGATAGATTAGGGTTTTGGGGCACCTCGTTTTGAAAAGCCCAGTTTCGGCGACAAGCAACTTCAGCGTGGCATCGATTTGACGCCAAGGTGTGTAGGACCCTTTCAAGCGCCCACCTAGTGGTTCCGCTTCTCCTGGAAGACTCTTTCAAAACTCCCTGCATGTTGGGACCATATGCAAATTGCCAAGAATGTCCTATTCTTAACCAGCTTGCAAGATCTTGTTGACCACAGGGTGTTGCTAAAATGGAGGCATCGCCAAAAACGTTTCGGGAAGGTGTCCATAGGGACGGCCGTAAATGCAACAATCAGTTTAAATACAGGCGCCCGCTTTTGTGCGCCTCTCTTAGACAGAACCAGAAGGGAGGCAAACTAAGCTATGATCCGAGAAAAGCCACCAACAAACATATTTCTTCTTTTTTGGGTGTCAGTTTTGGGATCCATTTGAAATCCACTCGCAGGAACTGGAAGCGATGGCACAGGCTCTCAGCAGGCTGGAGATGGCGTGCGTGCTGAACCCGAGCGGTCTTTGGCTGATAGACTGCCCATGTTTGATTTGCCAAACGGAAGCCAAAAGGGATGAGGTGATTCTTTGGGTCTGTCTTTTTTCAGGGTGCCCCCTTGTTTGTGATGTTCAAGGGAAACCAAGAGGATGTTTTTCAATACCACCTTTTTACGAGTTCAAGGGTTGATTGCCAATTCGTCATGGAGGGAGACGAGGGGTTTAAGGAAGGTCTAGGGCTCGACTCTCCATTCTCCTCACCCGTCGTTCTCTTCATCACCCGTTCATATTCGTTTCCAGCGGTTTGGGCTGGTTTTCTTCTCAAGAGAATAGTTCCTGAACAGAATGGGGAGGGACGGCTACACAAGCGGCAAATTCGAAATGATTTGGCCGGCGGGGCAGGTTGGATCGGTGGATTCAAAGGTTGCCAGAAAACTTAGCCAAGCTTTCGCCCTTTTGCCCTTTTGGGTTTCCTTGAATTTCCACGCAAAAAAGTGCCAAACGGTGTCCTTAGCCTCCCTTCTCCAGGGACAAATAACTTATCGTGATTCCTGTGGGTGTGCGGAGTATGCCTTTCTGTTGAATTAGTGTTCAGCTTGGGCTGTATTTGGTTTCAGTTGGGTTTTTGCGGACTAGATTTGTTACTTGTTTAAAAATAACAAATAAGAATAAAACAAACTCCCCCCCCACCCCCCAAATCCACCAACCCCTTTTTTGGTGTGTTTATCGTCATTCCCTTTTTGGTTTCCCTGAATCACGCCTCGATTTCCTCACCGTTTGGAGCGGTGCGTCGAGAGGCCAAGCCTCCCCGAGAGTTGAGACCTCAGCCGAAGCAAAGAGTAGCGTCAACAAAGGCGTAACTCCAACTGAAGATTTGTATTCCGGGAGCTATTGTCCTCTGAAAACAAAAAAACATGTCCTTACTAGGCCCTGTTGATCAGCCCTCGGAATAGCCGGACTTCTTGTGGTCTCCATGGGACGGCTTGATCAGTTCCGGTGGTGCCAGGAGGATTTGAACCGCCCCAACTGTAATGGTCCGGATTGGCCTGACGCTATTCCACGCCGGTCTTGTGCTGGGAGGGTTTACACATGGCTTTGTATGTCATCCTTTAAATCCTTCAAACACGGAACATTTGGCAGATGGTGCTGGAATGTTTTATGGAATCTCAGAGGTAAGCCATGTTAATCACGGAGGATCTCTAGGCCTTTGCTCGTGTTTGTGGTCTCATTGGTCTTCTATTTGCTTAAGAATATGTTTTATTCTCCCCTGTTGGTTTTAAAAGGAATTTATCGCTGGAACTATTTACTTAAGCAAGTGGAAGGAGATTGCCATCTACTTGCACCAACGACTTGCTGGTGCGACAGGCTGGGAATGAGTTGGAATGACCCTGAAATAGACCATCCCTTGCTGGTGGTTTCCTTTAAGGGACCCCCTGGGTTCAAATTTTTCCCACATCTGCCTATCGCACCAGCAAGAAGAGGTTGAAACGCTTGGCGTCCCCAGGCTCGTGGGCCCAAATAATTTGATTGGGGCACTTGAAGACCAAGTTGGGTCATGGTCATGGGAGAAGGCTCTAGCATTTCGCCCACATTCAAATTTTAGCCCCCAGAAAGAATGACAGGCGCATGTTGCACAGCTCGAAGTCGAGATGAGACTAGGCCCGAGTCAACCGCTCCGGAGGCTGGGCGCCAGTTTTTCCTGCCTGCATCCTGAATCGGGGGACATGGCGCTCCCCAAGTTGGACGATGGCGGATCCCCCAAGTGGCCAGAAATTATGGTTTCGGGGGTTCTATGTCGATTTCTGCAGGGGACTGGCCCCTTTCCACTTTGCCTGGGAATCTGTCTGCCTGTGTTGAGAGCGGCGACCTGGAGGGCCACAGCAGTGAAGCCAGCAGAACTCGGATGGGCAGAATTGGATTGTATCAACCAGTCCTTACCTCTTAAAAACACGAAACTGTTCGTAACTTTTTGGGTAACATGGGCTATATTGGAAAAGATCAACTTCCCCAGGGCGCAGGGAGTTTTAAGGGGTAAGAGTCATAGCGGTGTGTCTCCACGAACCCGCGAAACGGGCGGCTTCCCTGTGGTTTTCCTTTGCAACCCCGGACTGGGCACCCTCAAAAGAAGGACACAGCGAGCTTTCATGCAGTCTAACTGGCGGATTTTGCGCAGAACGGCAACCATATTTCAGGCGTTTGTGTTTGGGAAAAAAATCGGGGCGAATCCTTCTGGCGCATACCTACACATTTAGATTTGGGAGATTTGTCTGGTATTTATTTCGACCTTTGCTGAATTCCCCCAGGGCAGGTCAAAAGGCAGGCGTACCACGGCAAGCTGCCCTGGCGCCAGGAAAAGCGCACCGGGGACGGCTGCTTCGCGCGGCTTGCGCGGCTCGATGGCCGAAAGTCTATAGCCAGCTTTTTTTTCAGAAAGCCGCCAAAAACCACTTTAAACAAATAAAAATGGTTGGTTTTTGCCAAAGAACGATGAGGCCCCTTGTAACCTGCCCTTTCGATGCTTGACGGGGTTTGGTAAAAGCATCAAACAGCACGACCTGCAAGTTGAAAGGGATTTCCCGACTCAGAAAAAGAAGCAACGACACCGGTACGGCGTCTCAGGAACAACGAGCGGTTCCAGCACATCACCCTTGGTGTGATCGTGCTGAATGCTCTCTGGACCGCGACCCGAAGTCTCCAAAATCCAAGCACATGTGCCCCATGGGGTGTCCTTGACCCGTAACAGAGTACTGTCCTTGAGACACATTGGCGAACCTGGATTGAAAATTCCAGAAGTTCCTTTGGGATTCCGTTCAACAAACCCAGAGGGAGAGGATCCACCTCGCAATGCTGGCAAGTACTGACGAGTCCGAAAATATTGCAAGATCAACCACACTATGACAAGTGATCAGAGCCCCCCCCCCAAAAAAAACAGTGTGTCAGAACTCGGCTTTTCAAGTAGTCATCCCGCAACTATTGGTTGTTTGGTTTAGTACTGGTTTCAGATTGCATATGAAATCAGTTCTGCTGTTCAGGCTTTGTATTGAATGATGTTTAGTGTCATTGTGAATTCCCCGCCAGCTCTTAATTTGTTATTGCTTACTATCAAAAGCTTGCCGAAACCAGCCCTGGAAAATTCTCTTTTGGGCGGTCGCAAAAAATATCATGAGTTTGCCTGTTGGCGGTCGATCTCTGTTGGCTCACTTAAAAATTGAAGAATACTTGTCCAGTATTGGGTTGTAGTGGTTAGTATTGCCAGTATTGCTTTAGTTGTGGTTACGTAGTGGTTTGCTTGCTTAGCACTAGTTCAGTCGTAGCTGAGATTTGAATCAGTATTCTTGTAAACCATGTCATGGCTTAGACGCAGATTCTTTATTTTCAGCTTGGTAGCCGCCAGAAAACATGTCTCGGTATTTCCTACCCCTCTTTGCGAGTGAGCTGTTTTTGGAACATTCAGTATATTCCTCCCTTTTAATCGCCAATTAATTTTAAGGGTTTCCTTGTTCCCTACTTAGGTTCAGAGCATCAACCATGTCACCACCCATCTTCAGCAAGCATTGCTCAGTACTTAGGACAACGGACGGGGGAAACATCAGCTTGCCAGGATCTTCGTGGACGTGCAATGGAACCACTCCGCCCTGCGCGGCGAAGATGGCAGGTGCGATGCGTCGGATCGACTGGCTGGAGGTTTCGAGCAAGAAGTAGAAGGACATGAGGTCCATTCAATAATCACTAACAGAAAGGTGCTGGTGGGCGAAAGTAGATGGCACACCCTCCGTTAAGGCTTTATCATCCTCTTCACTTACAGACAGAAAGGTAGTAGTGGCATCCGTCCACTTTCGCCTTGGTGTAAGGGCTTACTGGCGAATGGTCCGAACACCTGTTGGTATTTTGTTTGGGGATGTCCGATGGATCTGGCACGGGTTTGTCTCGCACTGGGCAACTCCCGAAAGTGGTTGTCTGCCCTGGAATAGGCCATTGATATGAGTATGTATCAAATCAACATCCAGAATCATCATCCACCCGTTTTTTCCCCGGTTTCCTTTTGGTTTCCTAGACCATTTCAGCTGGGCTTCATTCATTTTGAGACGCCTACCATTCAAGGGAACCCCCGAAGTAAATAATCCAAGGGGAAGGCAAAGCGGCACACGAAGGTGGGTGTTGCTAAAAATGAGGACCATTCTTGTTTTGAAGGGAAGCCACAAGGATAATATTTTTTGAGGCTTCTCTAACTATAGTCAATAATTGTTCCTTCCCAAAAAGGAAGGAAACAAACAAGCGAACCCAGACCCCCTATTTTAGCTTCCAGCTATTCTCTGAGTTTCGCTTGAATCCCTGATCTGTTCCAAGGAAAAGCTCAACACAAACCCACCATTTTGAGAGTCTCCTATTTTAGAAATCTCCGTGGGGTTCCGGGAGGAGAATTCGACTTTGTTCCTGAGGCTCCCCTTGGAGCCCTACAGCATCGCCGTGGAGAACGCGTTTTGCACCTACTTCACGTTGGAGGCTGGTGGCAAGCGAAGGGCATTCGTCTTTCGCAACATGGCTGGGCTGTTCAAAGGCAATCCACAAGATCCTTGGGTTACGAAAGGGTCCCCTTGTAGTGGTTGTAAGGGATTCTAGATTAGGATTGGCCGACACTCCGTTTTGAACAACCCAGCATGAGTTTTGCTCAAATTCATGGACCCTTGATATTATTTTGGCATCGCGTTAACGACATCCAAGAGTGGGTGTCTTATTTTGAAAAACAGCCATTTTCAGATTTGGGGAAGTCTATTGATCACTGTTGTTGGCATGTGTGTTAGCTAGTTGATGTTTTGGGTGTGTTCATTTGTTTTGCGGGAGCTGCAAAGCGCCACATTTGGTGCTTGTATACCAGGGGTTGCAAGGCTGTGCACCACAGGTCGCTCCATTCAAAAATCCATTCATCCATCCATCCATCCATCCATCCATCCATCCATCCATCCATCCATCCATCCATCCATCCATCCATCCATCCATCCATCCATCCATCCATCCATCCATCCATCCATCCATCCATCCATCCATCCATCCATCCATCCATCCATCCATCCATCCATCCATCCATCCATCCAGGTTTTTCAAGAGAACGGCACTTTCAAATCTGAAGACAAACGGCTGTTTCCCCACCACCGGGGAAAGTAAGACCCACTAAGCATCTTAGCAACCAACTTATGGGGCAATCTTCCGCAATTCCCTCAAGGCATCCCCTGCCTCGAAGATCCGGATCGATGCAAACACAACCCATGGGCCATTGGGCTTGCTTTGTCTGTTCATTCCCTCCGATGTGGGAGTGCGCAGCGAGCCCAAGTACCTGTTGATGGGAAAGTGTTTGTTGGTTGGTCTATTTGATGTTTTCGCTAAACCGATCCGATCTAGCATATCGGTCCGGTGAAACTGTTCAGGCCGTAAACATTGCAAGTAGGAAGCAAGGAAGGCAATCTGCCGTAATCAAAGGTATCTCCCGTGCTTTGACGGCAGGACATTTTCTCTTGGCATGGCAAGGGCCATTTTGTCTTGGCAGCCTGTTTGTTTTCCTAGCATGACGAATGTTTCCTTGGTATCGCCAATGTCCCCTCGGTGCCTCATGGTATTTAGGGTATGCACGATCAGGCGATATATATATATATATATGGCCCTGTATCCCTACCCCCCCAGAAAGGTCAGTTCCAAACTCTCCGATCAGAATAATTTTCAGGGGCTGTTTCACAGGGATTGGATGCTTTGACCTTTGAGCCACGCTTCCAGCTTGTCTTTTGTTTCCAAAGAATCGGAATCGATTCGAGTTCCTTTGACACCTCTGGCAGCCTTCCATCTGCTGAAGAGATTATGTTTGATGTTCCTTCGGTTTTAAATGGACCTTTGGTTTTAAAGGGATTCCATCACCCACAAAAAGGCGTTATCCCCCTGTTGGCATGAAAGGGAGTCGATCACTGGCCACCTCTTTTTTTCTCATTCTCTCTCCGCACGTTCTTTCGGCTTCGATGGCTTCTCTCAGCCTGAGGTCATCTGCCGGTTCCTGGCCTTCCGGAAGTTCAGGTATTGCTTCATCGACGCCTGGCGCGGGGCCCCAGGGCCCCAGGACCCGAAGTGGACCTGCAGGTCATCCTCAGAAACCGGTGGCCTCCAGGCCGAAAGGTCGGCGGTGGTACCACTGGTCCCCTGGGCCGAAGTCATGCAACGAATCACAGGGGAAATACCGCTCAGAAGGAGTTCAGGCATGCCCAGGGAGACTTTCCGGCTGAAAGCGAGGTTCGAATGAGGGCAAATGTGAGAGAGTGCGCGGAATTGTGCTGACTTGCGTAAAACATGTGTGTGAAATTTGCATGTTTGTGTCCCAGGTTGGAGTATGTTTACTAGAACCCATCGCGCGGCCCAAACCCTGCGCGCGGCATTTAGCACGTCTTTGGGATGGGGTATTTCCCTGGCATTTTCAACAGCTCGGAGATCGCAGTCCCCTGCAGCCCAAGAGTTGGCTATGCTTGTACCTTTGCATCGTTCTGTGGCCAAATTAATTAGCTTCGGAACAGATGAATTCGAGGGCAAGCCAAAAGAATCAAAAGAGCTGATGGTGCTCCAGGTTCCACCCTTTGTCCCCGAATAAATGCCTTGTTTGGGGCTCCACTGTGGCAGCTCCTTTTGGATGGCAGTGAACCGCAGGTTCGTTTTCGACCTGACCTTGGTGATCTTCATGGTGCGAGGAGCTCGGATGGCACACGCGGTCAGACTGAATTCCCTTGCCGCGTCGCCGCAGATTTTATCATGGCCAAGCAGTGACATTGGCTGTGGGTCAAAACCAATGGTACCATTTTGGGGTGGGTGCACCACCCATTTTAGAACGTATTTTAGTGGGGATTGAATTGGATGTTCACTGGGGTACGGATGTTCACTGGGGTACGGGAGTTTGATGCATGGCCATGGCTTTGCTTTCTTTTAGCCTCGTCTTGATTGTGACGAAAAAGGGGTCCTCTTTCGGATGCTTCAAGATACACGATTTGCTCCCCTGCCAAATGACGAGTTGAGTTTCATGTTGATCTGCAGCGGTTTTCCTGCAAGTTGTTCAGAGCTTGAAAAGGCAAAGTTGACTCCCGCAAATTTTCTATTCACCGAAGAGCACTTCCTGTTTGAACCAACAGCTGGGAAACCGCAGTTTGGTGGTTTATCCTAGAGTTTTCATCCAACCGCCATGAATCCCTGAATGTTTTGAGGCAAACCACAACTTTAAGAGGTAGCACTGGCACTAGCTGTGCTCAGCACAGTTTCGCCCCCTGGACTTCAAAGTTTTGAAGAAATCTCGACCCAGGTTGGAGACCTGGGTTCTGGCCTTGATTGAGCTGGCTTCAGGCGTGAGGGCTAACCATTCCACCAACCTGAACCATTGGCTGCAAAGCACTGCAAGGAGTGACACCCATATTAATGTATCCCTTCATTATCCATCAACCCTCAAAGAGCGACACACATATAGAATATATATATATATATCCTGCCTTTCCTTTTCGGGAAGGCCACTTTGCAGAGTGAGTGTCCTTTGTCCAGGTACTGCTTGCTTTGTTTTTGTTATTTTTCTGGAATGCTTGGATCTCCGAGACGAAATGTTCAGCAATCTATGGATTCTTTTGGGGGTGGACATGAGGGGGCTCACTAAATTTCCCAGCCAGGTTCCCATGTCCTCATGGGGAAGAAGGTAATTTAGGGCAAAACACCCTTTTGCTTGGGGTTGGTAGGGATGGTTATCAACCCCGCAACTGGATTTGAGACAACCAATGTGTACATTGTGATATGTTTGGATGTGTGATGTGTCGGAAGTTTTCCCCACAGGATCTTGGTCGATCACTGATACAACAGAAAGTTCACGCAAGTTGACTAGATGATTGGAGAAGAGTTCTCACATGCCCATGCTGACATCTACCTGCTACTTCCGGACAGTTCTTCGTGTCAGGGTTCAATTTGGGCAGCCTACACAAGTACTGGTAGTCTGCTGTTTGTTTGGGGAGGACGAGAAGGGCCCATACGTCCATTCTCCCCATTTGGGAAGCAAGCATTTTTTTCCGCGGCTCAGTTGTTGACTACCCAATGTACACAAAACCCTGTGTTCCCTTGTTTTAAAAAATGGGTTTGTCTTACCTAGGGGCGCTCGTTCCTTGATGACACTTAACACAGCTGAGCTGGGTGGTCCTTTTGTGACTTCTTGGAAAACTGTTTGGCCGCCTAGTGATTTGATTTCCTTTATAATTGCCAGACTGGTCAACATGGGAGTTGGAAGAAGCACGCCTCAACATCAGACCCAAGTTCAGCCTTGTTGCCTCGCTTGGGCATTTTTTCCAGACAGGGGCTCATGACCCAGCCAAAGGTCGTCAGACCCTTTTTCAGGCCCCGTTTGAAGGTGTCTTCGATGATTTATGGAGGGGCTAAAGGGACTCCACCACGGGAACCGCATCCTTACGCGAGCGAACTAGTGGCGACACACAGCCCCAAGCTGCGTCAGGCGGCTTCAATGCGGGCGGCGGGGTGTTGAGCAATCTGAGCAGCTTCAGGCCGGTTGGCTGAGAGTCTTCATACTGTGGCTGGTTGCGAAATCCGTTTCGCGCCACTTTGCATGGAAAACCATAGCGTTTGTTGGTATTTACAAGGGAACCGTCAGAAACCGGGGTTTCTTTGGTGCTGCATAATTTCATCCCTTTTGGTAGAAAATAGATGGCGATTCCTGGTTTACCTGGTTGTGTTATCTACCAGGGCCATCTATCTTCCCCAAAAGGACACCTATGGTACTATTGACATTGTGGATACATATAAGCTATTGAGGCCAAAGCAGCCACGTGATTGTGGAAGCAAGCGTTGACTCTCTACTGTGGATGGACAACATCCAGGCTTCCTGGTGCAATGTGGATGTCCATTCACACTTCAAACCCTTTCTAGGGGTTGGGTCCTTGGTACAGGGCAGACATGAGAGACCTGGCTCCCTACTCCAAATACCAGCATTTCTTTGGGATATCATGGAAATCCGCGATAAAGGCAGCTAATTATTTACCATGGTAGGCCTGGTGTTTTGTCCATGTACCCAACAAGGGAGCCGGTATTTGGAGTAGGGGCTGGCGTTTCTTAGGGTTCGCCTGCAGGGTTGCTTGGGGAAGTCTTCTCGAGACTCCCGCTTCGGGGGTTTCCTCACGGTTGGTGTCCAGCTCTCCGGCCAAATGCCGCCAAGAAAGGGGTTCCGACCAGCAGTCCAGCAGCCCCCCAAATCGCTGCTTTTTCAATCCTCCCAATTTTCAAGTACTGTCCAAGCGCAGAGGAAGACAGAATGCTTGTGGGATGATTGGCGTGTCAAGCATTGGCACTCCCAACCACAATTCGAGGTTTCCCTTCGGCTTCAAAACACCCCCCTCAACCACTAGTTCACAATTACAAACAGACTCCCTCCAAAAAAGCAGCGAAGGGACAAATACGGCCATGGGCTTTTCAAAATCCAACTCGTGCCCTCAGTGAAGGTGCCAACCTGATGCCTCAGCCACCGCTGCCCAATGAACCGATCCGGGGCCCGTAGATCCGGACAAAAGAAGTGACGGCGTTCGTTCCAACGACGTCACCCAAGGATTGGACGGGTGGGACATGCCTTTTTCTTTTTTCCGCAAAGACGTGTCAAAAACGTCAAAGAGTCCCCTGTCCAGTTTTATGAGTGTTGGAAAGAAGACTTCCACAGGAAGATGGGACTAGCCCCAGAATGGCTTCGGAGCGACATTCCCAGCTTGTTCATCAGGATGTATCCGGTGGCCATGGGAAGAGCTGTTTGGTCCCCGATTGATTGCAGAAGCAGTTTGTGAGGGGTCTGGGTGTGTCTCAAAGGAGGAAACATCCAATGGGTTCCAACAGCATGCGGTCTTTGGTGTGATTTTCATTCGTCCCAAGTTGTTCTGGAAGAATCTTTCAGTCAAAGGCGTTGATGGCTACGGTTTTGCACATTTTGCCAGCACTGGGCCCCTACGAATGTTTCTGCAGGAGAGCCACCGCATATCTGACAGATCACTGCCACGTCTTCATGACTTGGTTGAGAAACAACGACAGTGGCCCATCAAGCGGTCCTCGGAAAGTCAATCCAAGACACTAGCAATTCATCTATGGGCTTGAATCTCGTTCCGGGGGAGCCGCAAAATGGGTTCCTCCTCGTCTATTTGCCGAAAAGAACGATGGTTAAAACGAATGTAAAAGGAATCAACCCCCAGCGGCTGGAACGTCGCGTGAGGCTCCTGCGCCTCCTGCGGCTCACGCGCGTGGCGCGGCTCATGCGCCTGGAGCCCAACGGATCAAGCCGAAGGAGCTCCCTCGAGGAACTCTCAAGCCATGGGATGGTTCAAGCTGACTTCGAGGGAACTGGCCAGCTGAAACCCATGGGATGGTTCAAGCTGATCCCTTGAAGCCAGTTTGCAAAACTCGGTTTCTTTGGAACTGTGGCCGCTCTGACCTTTTCGGTGTCCTTTTTGGTTGTTTTGGTAAAAAACAAAAACAGATGGCCCTGGTTTACCTGGTGGTTTAATCATCTACCAGGGCCATATACTTCCCCTAAAAGGACACCTATGGCTCTGACCCTTTCCCTGCATCATGCATGTTTGCTCGACTTACTTTCCGAACAAGAAAGGGTGTGTCTCAAAATAAAGAATGGCGCCTTTTGGATTTGTCGGAAAAGCGTTTGCTGTTCATCGACTTTAAAGGCGAACTCGCGTCCCCCGATTTCAACAGTAGTGCCTCAAACAGCCTTGAATTTCTGTCCGAAAATGGGGGAGCAAGCCTCCCAGGCTTTCTTTCAAACTGTGTGCTCAGTGCCAATAAAATACATTTGTGCCAGGAAGGAGTCAAACAGGCATGAACAATTTTGCTTATTTTCCAGACCCAGCCCGTAGTTTAAAGAGCCTCCCGCGCTCTGCTTAAGCCGCATTGCTTTGAGGCTTTTTCCCAGAGCTGCTGACGCTGGTGAAGCCGGGCTCCCCAGTTCAGCTCCGGCACCCGAGATGCGGCGCGCAACCCAGATAGCCGAAGGGGAGTACAGGGCAATCCCAACCATGGTACGACCGCCTTTGACATGTCCTTACATGGATTTGGAATGATTTGGGTAGACCATTTAAACAAAAAGAGGTTTTGAGTGTGACTCAAATCAATTAGTTTGTGTTTTGCGGTCTAATGTCGATCCTGGAGTTAAATTGGAATCTGGTGGAATTTTCTTGTCAATTCCAGAAAGAATAGTTTGAAGGCGGTTCAAATGGTGAAGGTTTTTGGCAAGCCACCTGAGAGCCATGGCATCAGTTCCAGAGTGAAACAACTTGCGCAGAGCATGGTTTTTTCTTCGATGGTCATGATGTTTCATTGGGGCTGCGGCACGAATCTCAGCATTGACTAGCGTTTACCAAGGAACAAACTGGTATCATTGGCAATGTGGGGTTGCGATTGCCTGATGACAACCTCTTCCGAATCTACGAGTGCGCACAATGAAGGTATGTGTCTAGCCCTGCTTGGTTTTTCAAAGGCACGAGCTTCACATTTGGTGTGGGTGCAGAATGAATTGAAGATACTCCTGCAAATTTACAGCCCAAACAAGGATCGCTTTTGGAGCAATTTTGGGGCTCCCCTCTGCCTGTTAAGCAAGAGATCTTCCCTTAACCAGCGCCAAAAGGTAGCAGTTCAAACCGGTTCTTGAGATCCTCTTTTTTTTAATGCCCCAACTGTGGATTCCTGCCACTGTTGCAGCAGCTTCGCACGTTCCTTCGGGAATCCACTGGATTCGGCTGCCAAATTCAAGCATCTTGAGTGGGGGCTCTGCCTAGGGGCATGGTGCGGGCCATGCAATCCGTTGGCTTCATTCTGCTCTTCATGGTCGTCGTCACCTATGTCTTCGCCATCGTGTGCAGTGCTTACCCAGCCGTTTGAACGAATTTCGCCAGATGGACAGATGGGGACCTGGCAGAGGTGAAAGAACCAAACGAAAATGGGGACCAAAGGAAGCCGAAAAGAAGTCTGTCTGTGTTTGGGACTGGTTTGCATGCTGCTGGCCCATTGCTATTTAAGTACATGGACCCTTTTTGGAAGACGACTTTCCTGTGAAAGGGTCCTGTGCACTTCCATGTTTGGGAGGGTAGCTGCCTGAGGTTTACCAGCCAGCTGGGGGAATGGGACTATGTGCCGCCGGCCGTGATCCGCTCAGCTGGTGCGGTTCAGCAGTTCAGCAGCTTTAGATCTAGCGATCGACTGTGTCATGAGACGTTCCTGATAGCTTAAAAGTGGACGTTAGATGTTCCACCATTTACAAGAATGCCGCTACCGCCCTCCCGAACACACCACCCGCCCAAACTCACCACTAGCTTGGTCTTCTTTGGTCTTCCTCAAGGGGATGTGTTTGGCATGTGACTTTGGTTCGATGGCTTGGTCCAGATCTCTTCAGACGTGGCGGCAAGCCTCGTGAACGTCACCCGAGGATGCGGAGGACCCCACAGCCAAGGAGCTGTTTGGCGATATGGGTGGTATCCTCAGTCTGCTTCATCTCAGTATACCTTCCCGCCCACCATCCTATAGCCTCCTGCCCACCGCCTTTCCAGTTCCATGCGGGTGCGAGGGTACTCTTCGCGACAACCTGCAAAACCTGATTGCTTCTCCATTTTCCTCGGGCGCGGGTTACTCTTTGCAGTATGCCTCAGGATCATCCATGATGACTCTCTTCACCAACGGCGTGCTCGTGGATGACTTGACCTTCACGCTAACGGAGATCCGGAAGGAGATGTCTTGCTGGCTCCCAGGGAACGAGGGAATCCCCTTGTCCTTTAAGTGGATCCCCTTGTGGCTCATTCCCACAACCCCTTGAATGATTTCCCCAGCAAGCTTTCCCGAAGGGCCGAAAACCCACACTGCTCAGTCCCAACATCTAAAAGTGCATCATTCAGAAGGCGACAGGTCTATTTGGGTCTGTCTCAAAATGGGTGTGGGTCAAAAGTTGGCACCGAAAATGGAACCCTGAGAACAAATGGAACCAAGGACTAAAACCTGCGGTCCCCTGGTGGTGTGTGTTTGCCCCTTTATAGTTTCATTGTCCTTTCTATTCAAAAGACTATACAGTGGAATTGGGGGCCCCCCACCCCCCCTCCCCCTTCATGCAGGGGAGATTCTGTAGATTGTTAATTTCAGAGGCGCAAACAATTCGAACGCGCAGGTCTGAGCACGGAATCGGAGAAGTGACACATGGAGATCTCCGCTTGCATCAAGCCCGATATCCTTTTTTGCTTTTCCGGAAAAGGGTTGTAAACCAACCATTGCAAGGCCCCTCAGGCCGCTGTTAAAGCAGGCCAGGAAAACTTCCATTTGCTTAAGTTTTTTTTTTTGGTTTAAATCCCCTGTTGGTGTTAAAAGGATTTTTTCAATGCTGGACATATTTTTCATTTTTTTCCAGGGGTCTTAACCAAATGGAAGAAAATGGCTTGGTGGGTGGCCAGGCCTCTCAAGGCAGGAATGTCACCTCCAGGAGAGCTTAGCCTTGATGTGGGCCTTCATGGTGCCAGGGCCTCGATTCTCTCAGCGCAAAGGGGCGATAGGGTACGTCAGGCAAGTGGATAGTCAGCCTGGTTATTACCCACCTAGAAATAACTTATAACCATGGTAAGTGGGATTTAACCAGGCTTGCTGACCACTTGGTAAGTACCCTGCCTCTGTTTAAGTACAGGATAGCTCGCTTACCCGGTTTCTCCTCACTTGCATCTTTTTGGGAAGGCCGTTTTAGAAGCTGACAAAAAGTTCCATTTTTTTTTTCCGGGCTAATCCACTCAGGAAGTGAGATAACGAACACTCAGCAGATTGACACATTTGGGGGTTGTTTCGAATTCGGATTCCTCTGTGACGGCATGAAACAGTGAGTCGACTATCACATGCGGTTCTATTTTCCAGTAGTCCGTGGTCAATTTGGGAGGGACATGGCCATTCTGGGCAATGGGACATTTTGACTGCGGCTCACATACTGTGAAAGAGCTTGTCCACACAGTAAATGCCAGGGGCAAAGCACCCCGTTGCATAGTAATAGTATTCAATGCGTCACGTGTTCCTGTCAACTGAGCTGGGCTAGAATTAGTACTTGTTCCAAGGGACAAAAGGGTGGGAGCAAGACAAAGGAAAATGTTAATCAACTCAGCTAGGTTGTGTGCCTGTGCTTGTGTAGGCCGCTGTCAGTTGGTGTTTGTGTTGTGTGCTTTTGTTTGTGTGTGTGGGTGTGTTTGCGTGTTTGCGTTTCTGTGCATTTGCTCACTTTCTTGCTTTTTTGCTTGCTTTCTTTGGGTCTCTTTGCTTGTTTGGCTGTGTTTGTGCGTTTGTCTCTTTGTGTCTATTTCTGTTTCTGTGGCTGTGCATTTGCGTTTGTGCGGGTGTCTTTGTCGTCGCCTCTGTCTCTGTCTCTGTCTTTGTGTGTGCGCGCCTTTGTCTGTGTCGTTGTTTTTTGTGCATGCATGTGCGTTGGTTGGACAGAAGGTCATCACTTTGCAACGTCAACATGTGATTCGGTCTGAACTGCTCGTGTGTCAGGTTCATTATCATCTCTGGCATGACGTTGCTGAACATGCTTATCGGTCTGCCTGGGCAAGCTTGAGCAGGACCGTTTCTTTATTTCGCATCAATTTGCAGTACCTCCTATGGTTGCTCTTTTGTTGCGGCATAGCAGGAATACCTCTGGTGTACAAAGACAGGTTGCTTTCTTCGCGCTTGTCGCGTATGCCTCAAGATTCGCCGGTGAATTCGGTTTGGGGTCCAGTCTAAGCCTGACCATTGGAGCAATGACGTGCGACGGAGCCCGAAATTCACTGAAGATCAGCTCCCATGGTGTCTTGAGGGGCTTAACTCGTGCAAAGACCTGTTGATGTTTCGGGGGTATGATGGACTGACATAAGAATGATGCTGGTTCCATCATGGATTCTGGACGTAGGTTTTCCACGCAGCAGTCACCAAGTGCAGGCGCTTGTTGGGTTAGCAGGCGTCTCTGTGTGCATTGCTGCCAGACGCACACGTTTAGCATCTCGCAGCTTCAAGTTTTGCCATCTTACCCATAGAACCGGCTCTTGCGTAGGAATATTCATTACTCCCGCACTTCGGAGATGGACATCCTTGGGGCAGGTCCCGTTGGTCAGCACCAAGTGGAAGCCTCAACACCCTGTGTTTGCGCTGTGTGGCCAACCGACCGGCCAGGCGTGCTTTGCCAAGTCATTGAGGATAGCTCGCGGGAGGAGGCCGAGGCGTCCGGGCCTCGACTTGGCCAGAACTGCTGCAGCTGACCCGTCGACTTGTGTTTTGGTTGTCCTTCACCAGCTGAAATGAATATGTTTTTGTTTCTCTTCCCCTGTTGGTTTTGAAGGAATCTATCATTGCTGGAAATATGTTTATTTTTTCCCAGGGGACTTAAAGCAAATGGAGGTTGTCCTTGGTTTCCTCTTTCAACCTGCTGCGTGTCATTTGCAGGGCCGTGGATCCGTGCGCAGGAAAAATATGGGCGGAAGTTTGTGCGTAAAGGCCCCAGCCATGGACACCTTGAGTGTCTTCTGATTACACTGTGGTTCTTAATTTAGGTGGTTATCAAATGACTTTGATCATGGTGAGTCAATGGGTCCTGTTAAGCAAAAGCAAGATCATACAACATTGCCAGACTCATGCGTTTCTTCCTTTTGGATTTCCTTCATGGCTTTCCTTTTGTGTAACCAGCTAGCAAGTTGTTCACTTGGGGTCTAGGTCCAACGCTGGAGTGGGACCCCTGCCTTTGCGTGGTAAGAATCAAGCACTGGCTGGTAAGGAGCCAGCGAAAGGTGTGACCATAAAAGGAATTGCTCAGCAGATCTTCCGCTTCCCTTGGCACCCGGCAACTCCTTGTGGTCCTGGTACTCGTCCGTTTGGGTCCTGGTCTTGGCAGTCCATTTGGGAGCTCTTCTTTGGTTGGATGCATCTTTGGTTGTTTACAGGAGCTGTTTACAGGGGCTGTTTACAGAAGCAATTGGAACCAACAAGAACACAAACTCTGCTTTTGGTGGCCATCCCGCTTTCAGGTCCATGTTGCAGAGGTTGACATTGAGCATGTGTGGTTAAAAGATATTGGCCTGGCCTAGCTCGCGGGGATCACTCTTCCATGTGTTGGGTTTGTTCCGTGCAATCAGAGAAGGCAGCTCAGTAGCTCACGTTGTTATGAAAGGCAGTTGGATGCAAGATACTTCGCTCATCCTGTATCAGCTACTCAAGCACCGCCGCGAAGAGGCTCAGGGATGAAATGCAGGGAGCAAGCCTTACATGCTGGACACAGAGACTCGCGCTTCACCACAGTTCTCCCCTCCAAGACTTGAACACCCAAAGAATGCCAGTTCTTTGACTGATTTCTGCGCGGTCCCTTCCGATTCCTTGCCTGCAAAAAGCTTCAAGCACAGGGGCTATGATCTTCACACCCCTCCTTTCCAGCCATAAGCCTGTCGCTCAATTCAAAGGGCCTTGTGTTCACCACAGAATGAACACCCTGGATCGCCAGTTGCGATCGTTTTTTTCCATCCACTTTGCCCCAAAAACCGATTGCAACCGTGACTGAAAAAAGCCGCAACTTGGCTATCTAGGACCTCTTGTCTAAACTCCACAAGCTGACCTGAGCAATCAATACCTGGGAAGGTATAATATATATTTCCAACCAAAGTGGATGAAGCGCAGCAAAAAAGCACACTGGTTATTCTAAACTCACGGGATGGAATTGAGGAAACCGCCTCTCTAAGCTATCTCTAGAATTGGTATGCCCTTTTCTCTTGTTACGTCACCTTTTGGGCCAAGTTGGCGTGAACTTCCTCCGGAGTGATGTCTAATAGAGAAATGAACCGATCCCCAACGTGAGCATGGCCGAAAAGAACAACAAGCAAATGCTGAGGCGACAGCTACACGAGCTCAAGGCGGGGGGGTTCCTTGCGTTTGGGATCAGCGGGCTTTTGTGAATAAAGCTGACTGCTAAGTCGCGCGTATTTGTTCATTTCCCCGCGAGGAGGCCATATTGGAAGGGGGTGACCCCTAGTTCATTTGGGAAAAGGGAAGCTCCGATCAAAACGGTAAAACAATGTCACCATGGTCCGGCACTCAACTCGGGAGCTCTCTTGTTTCCTTGTGAGTTATTCCAATCCCGGATGTCATTGGCATGTCCAATTTCCCTTTTTGGGAGACTACAAAAATGGCTCATTCGGGAGCCCCAATTTCTCGCTAAGGAGAACCCTTCCCACTCACATGCAGCCTAACCGAGTGAAATGAAAGACCATGTCACTCCAAAAAGGGGCCTTGTGAGTCGCATTTCGTTCGGTGGGAGGCTTCGGGAAGACCAGTTCAACGGTTGTTTGTTTGCTTGAAGTCAAGTCCACCTATTTACTTTGAATGGTTGGGAGACAATCTACGGTTTTTCTTCCTCTACACTGTCACCTTGGATGCATGCTGAGATAGCCCTGCTACGGCGTCAGCCTAAGATGCTGGCTTCTTTGAAGCTCCACAAAAAGTTTTGGCAGATTGGCACACAATTTGGGGGGAGGGGGGTGTTTCACCGCCACGATTTTGAGGTTTCAACAGGACGGCTTGACCGTTCCCGGTGAGACCTGGAATTCGATCCGCGCCAACTTTGATGGTCCAGGGCTCCGCACCATTGCTGGGGGGGGCGTGTTTGAACTTGGTATCCCTGGTGTCAGTTTGTGCTGCTAGAGGGTCCAAAAGGGGGGTCTTGGCCTGCCATCTCTGGAGCCCTCTGGGGCCATCAAGACTGTTTGGACTTCTTGGGTTTGTCTTCACATGGGGAAACGAACCAAATAAGATTCTGACAAGGCGCGCCCCGAGGGAGAGGCTAGCAGCCGCTCTTTTCTCCCAGAAAGCCCTCAAGAGTCTTCCTTTTGTCCTGACTGTCCCGTTGCTTCGGGTTGGATCCACTTCGGATGGGTTTTCGTGGTTTCAACATCGGCTTGACCCCACAAATAGCTGTCAGGTGTTGGCGCAGACTAGGTAGTTTCTCGTTGATTTGATCAAAACGGGCGGTATTTGCCTTCACTTTTGAGTGGGTCTCTGAGGTTCCCACATAGGCACACGACAATTCCGCCGTCCGGACGTCGAATCCGCTGGCCTTCGACAGATGTGCTTGGTGGAAGCTTTCCAAGCCACGGATGAGTCGCAAGATGGCCTCATCAATGAGGACCGGGTATGACATGTCCACGAGAATCCAGGTAGATTTCTGGGTGAATTGTAACGACCTCCCGTGACCTCAGCCCAAATGGTGGTTTATGTTGGGAGTAGCCCCCCAACCACCTTATTTCAGGTTGGTGAAATATTACAATTCACCCAGATGTAGATTTAAGTGCTTTTGACCCCTAACCCTAGATGAACCCACACGCAATGGGTGATCACTATCCCTTTGGGATGGGTGGTAAGGCTCTAGGGGGGAAACAAAATATTCGAAGGGATCGTCCCAGATCTCATGTCAGGGCTGCCAAGCGCCTGTGGTCACCAATTTTGAGAAGCACCCATTTGGAAATTCCTTAGGGAGTATATGTTTGACATGTTTGCGTGAAGTGGGAACATGTGCATTGGACGCTTTAGCCGACATTCAAGGATGTCCCCTCGCAATGCGAGTACTTGCTTATTAGGAGACTATTGGAGGTACGGGATTCCTCATTTGCTTTTCATTGCTAAACCTGGCTTATATGTAAAGCGCTTTGCCTGGTTGGCTTTCCTTCAGTTTCCTTTTCAAACACACCTTGATTTCCTCAAACTCCAGCCGAAAGCGGGCATTCTTGTAGGACACTACAGGTGTGACATGGCCCAATAGGCATGGCATGGTTGCGAGCTGAAAATGAATGCACCTCGCATTGAGGTCGCTGCTTTCATGTGTGAAGGGACACACAGCCTTTGTTGCCTTGACTCATCTTCATCTGAACAAGAAGGCGCAAAAAAATCGGGCGCCTGAAGTTGGTTTTTACGTGTCTTGCATGCCAGGAAGAATGGGCAAAGATTGCGACCAATAAGAAGGTGCAAGCAGCTTTGCTCAAGCGCGGGCCTGAGCTTGTGAGCCACTGCTTTCCATGGCCTGTCGGGGTATATGCTAAGGCTTGGTGTGGAGGACAGCATGATGGAGGCACGAATTGGGAGCCATGATCTCAACCATCAAGAGGTCCCCAGAAAAGGGAAGGAGACCGGACACTTGGAGAATTGTGCGGGTTTGTTGCCGGGCTGAAGAAGTGATGTCCAGCGCACTGCGACTCATTTGTGCTGCGCAGAGACAGCTCACAAGCCTCCTACGCCGCAACCGGAGCCATTTTTGCCCCCAGAGTGAAGCTTGGGACAGTCCCCTGGCTGCGGGAAGCCCATTGGATTCTTTGCCGTTGGATATCTAGCTCACAAATGTTTTTCTCCTCATTGGACATGCGCAATAGAAGTTAGTGATGGTTTAATGGACTTTTAAGGTTAGTTCGTTCATAACCCCCCAGATGTTATTTAGAAGGACGTAGTGGGGAGTTCTCTCTTGCAGGGGACCTTAGACCTGAGGGACAATTGGATTTTCCGGTCGGAGTTGATCGTAGCCTGGTGGTGCGAAGGGCTTTCCATTTTTGAACCAGGGTTCGGACGAGCCCTCTAGAAAGCCCGATCATTTTCCGCGGCCCTGGTGCTTTTGTCGGGGTGAGAACCACTGGTCTTGTTTGAGTGGGGAAAATGTTTGTTGTTCGATCTGGGGTCGGGTGACTTTGATCATGGTAAAATAATGAGGCCAGTCGATGCTGCCAGGGTCTTTGGAGCAGCCGCAACAGGCCACTGGTTCAGCTTTGCGCCAGGAACGGCTCAAGCAGATGCAGGAGAGCCTCTTCGGGCGCCGCAACGGGACGGAGGCCGTCGAAGCCTCGACTCAACGAGCCTCAGTTTGGGGCCTTCTGAAAGTTACTTTTGGGGTGTCCCTTTGAACATGGGTCAAAGAAAAAGAACCAGGGAACCGTAGGTTTTGGTCTACTTTTCCATGTAAACAATTGCCAGGGCTCCATTTTGGACTCCTACTTTTGAGCCACACGCACCAGTTCGGGGAAAGTTGACTGTACTGATCCCATGAGCAAATGACCACAACAATGTATCGCTTTTCTGGTCTAAATCAGCCACAATCAAGACCAGCGCCCCAAATCCTTCACTGGCCATGTTCGATGGTGTTTCTATACTACCTTGCATGATGTTATAGTAAAGGCTATAAGGGCTATATTAGCCATAGCAAGGGCCAGCTATTAAGTAGTTTGACACCACATTACTAGAACCCAAACTCGATTGCTTTGGCGCTGGCCACCTTGGGGGGTGTGGTCCGATGAAACCATGATGCGGATAATGGCCCGGTTGAGTCTTTCATTTTGCGGTCGACTTGTTTAACATCGTTGGGTCTGAATACTTCACCCAGGCCCGGAAATTCCTATTGAATCCTATTGAGGCGTGCCTCAATTTCGACCTTGTTTGGACCGCAGTCGGTTGTTGGTTTGGAGACGACGTGGGGAAGTTCTCGAACCAGTGCTTGCGACCACGCAACTTCCCCATGTCCCCGATGGGAAGCCTTCCTTATGTTGTCCTGAGCTCATAAGCTTAGTGAGTTTCGTGCTTCCTGTTGCCTACCTTAGACCAAAACCATAGTCGGGCGCTGAGGCGGAGGCTGAGGCGGCTGAGGAGCCGGAGCGCCAGGCCGGGAGTGTCACAGCTGAGGCACCTTTCGGAGATCCGTTGGGCGACCACGGCATTTCTTTGTGTGCAAGAGACTTTGGGGACAGAGTGTTGGTTCAGCGTTTGCTAGATCTGCGATTGACTGAAGGCAGACCTAGTAGGAAACCACCCATTTGGGGGTTTCCCCTATTTTGAGACAAACCCATGTTGACTTAAATTTCAAGGGCCTCCACTCAGGCGCCGACATGGGCTAAAGTACAAAAGAAGGCTGTTGAGCCCAAGGAAAATGTCGACGAATCCAAAGGTTCCCCTAAAAACCGTAGCTGCTCGGAGTCTCGGAGTGTCCCAGTGATCCATCTCCCACTGATCCATCTCCCACCAAAGGGGAGGCTCACTGTAAACTTGCAACTGAAAGGTGTTTCAAGCCATGGGGAGTCCGGATTGGCGCCTTTGTTTCCCCCCTTTAAGTAAAGGACTCTGTGGAAT